TTACAATACTTCTCTGCATGAGTGAAAGAAGATGGTTTTACACTGCTATTTTTAGCAACATTCCAACAAATCACGATAGGGGACATCGGAATTGTGCTTCACACATCGTAACCATGTGGGGAATCAACACCAAACCACTGGTGTGATAAGCTAACACTTTAACAAGAAGGCTACCTCTCACACGTTGTACCCATCAAAATAGAAGGTGTTGCCAAGAGTGCTAACATGGAGGAAAAGAAACAACAGATACTTTACAGGCTTGTAAGGTACAGAGGATATAAACTGAAAACCTCACTCCCTACCCAGATACACTAACCAATTACCAACCAACCTCCCTCCCTAACCATATTAAAGGTAACATGCAACGTAAAACACATCTCTGCAGTTTCTGATACCTTTCGGTATGGACTTACCGAAACAAATCATCAAAAATACAAATTCAACTTATAAAGCTGAGTTCAAACAATTCACTAATTTCCCCCCAGTGCTTGGGGCAAAAGTGGTTGCAACAGCTGGGCTGCGCTGCGCTGGGCTGCGCCATAGCGGTACCCTCATAGCACATGCACAGTGAAATAGGTTCGCGCAGCTTGGAACCGGGTTGTCCGGTGACTACTCGGTGAAGGCTTTGGTGTGAGCTATTTTTCTAATGTTTTGTTGATATTTCACAGGCGCAAGCTTTTTTATATGTTATGACAGTAGATTACCGATTTGACTGTTTAGATAATTTCATTTGTCTATTTCACCACACGTTCTTCTTACCGAGTCACTTTCTCAGGTCGATACTTAAAAGCAATGTCATTATTTAGCGTTGACAGAAATTTCTAACTGTGATATAGATATGTCATTGTCACAGACAAAACTCAATGTCTGTTTTATTGACACCTATGTGTCTGCCTGCCTGTCTGCTAATGACAATATTCAATACACAACTTCGATCACTGACCACATGCAATTTGAACTTAACACCTATCAGGCTATACACCATAAACAAAACACATTGATTTATGGCCCGAGTTCGGTCTCTGTCACATTATGTAATTACACAGACAGGCAGGTGTGATACTTGTACACATTACATGTTATGATGTCTGTTGATACACAAAAAATGAGCATGTATTTACAAAACCCAACATCTCTATATATACACACACAATGAGCCGTGAGGGCATCTGCAAATGAACCAGTCGTTACACTGAGTGCACACCCACTCGCTCTGACTGGGTTCGGTATCCTGGCTGCTTCGTTTCTTGGGAACTAAACCCAAGTACAAAATATTGCACTTTTGATTTGCGATTGTACGCTTATAATTTTGTTTATATGTTTTTCATAATCAGCAATGTATATTATATGTCATGAATAAGTGATCATTGTATTTTAATTATGTTTGATTTTTTGGTTGCATGTGACCTTTAACTAAAACACACAAGCCTACCTCCCTAGCCAGATTAACTAAAAATAAAATCTTCCTAACAACCCAGATTAACTTAAAACAATAACAAACCACACCACTCCCAGGGGCGGATACAGCTTTTTGAAAAAGTGTGTGTGCGTGCGTGCGTGCGATGCTCAGCACCATTCATTTTCACCCGTTTCACCAGAGAGTTCAATGGTCATTTAATAAACTTTCAGGACAAAAGTGGGGTGCGCACCCCTGCTCTGGATCCACCTATGAACAAGTCAGCAGCAAGCATATTTTTTCAGTGGCCTTATATAAGGGTAGAGTGACATACAAGTATCAACAAGGGGTTACTGTAAGCAAAGCCTACACGTATACAAAGTACATTACATCGTAAACATGATTCTATTATCCCGAAACTTGTCCGATCGATTTCAATAATCCAGACACGGCAGCGTCCATATGAACGACCCCCTGTTTCACTGTGTCTATATATATGCACACATAAAACGTTTTCTGGCAGACAAACAATACGATATGAGTTTATCTAATAACGACATAGCTTGAAAATGTATATAGCTGAATATTACTGTTTACGGTGTCTGGTTGAGATCAAATATCACACCGCGGGATTGAACTGGAGTTCCGAATATTGGCCACCAATGCCAGTACAATGTGAACGCGTTCATTCGTATATATAAATTATTCAAATGTTGTGAAAACATTATATAAACAATCGACAACGTAATTGAATATCGCATCGTTTCGTTAACGTGCTTATTGTGACTTGGGATTGGATTTGCCATGCCAGTGCATTACGTAAGCCCTCAAATGTGAGGGTATAGACATGATCACGTGAAATGACAAAAAAGCCTAGGCAATCATAATTTGTTTTGACTAGAGAACGAAAAAAAAGAAAACACACTTTCATTATTTGCATACCATGTGTGTCAAACGCATGACTAAAGATTCACAATAGTTCGTGCACAACTGATGACCCCCTTTACGTTGTTTGTTTGTAACTTGCTTATCCCTCAACAGCGGTTACCTCCCTTGTAGTGATATCCCATACATCTATTTGATGATGTATTAATTTGTATTATTTTAATACGTGTATCTACAGTCTTAGGTATGCAAAATATTTGTTATTCTAAGCCTTGGTTGAAAATTAAACACATTTTTTTTTAAATTAAACACATGTAGGCACGTTAGGGTCGAGTGAGGGGCGGTTGTCTTTGATGAATTTCAAGAAAGATATATGTCATGGTTTAACCATACCTGATGTTGCCTAAGTCACGTGTTACCAAAATTTAACATAGAAAAGCCAAACACTAAGCACATCGCTGCATAAATTGCCTGATACACTATCCCAAAAAAGTAACACATATATGTACTTTCACGAATGTGACTTTAAAATAAGATGACAAATTTAAGTCTGGATGAGTTAATTGCAAATTTCACAGCATATATAAAAAGATCAAATATCTGTTAACATTCATAGCTTATAAAAAGTTCAATAAGTCCCAGATTGGCGTTGTCTTCGGTATCTCTTGTGGCCACCATGAGTCCCACAAACTGCTCTGCACTGCCTCGGCATTGACTAAATAAGTCTTTGAATTCCACCTTGTGGAATTCTGGCCCATTCCTCTTGCAATGCCTGCGACAGTTGATCTAACGTCTGCTGAGTGAGGCCTGACATTATCTTGCTGAAACAACTAGCTCTGGCAGTCAATGAACGGAAGTATGTCAATCCTTGAGATTCTGTCTCTGTACCGAATAGCAGTTAAATTGCCCTGAAGGCGCACCAAGTTAGATTTCTACGTGTAGGATATGGATCCCCACATCATGACACTCTCACCACCATATCAGTCACACTGGGCAAAACAAATCTGGGCAAAAATGTTCGACGTTGACAGACACGTACTCTTCCGTCACGGCACTGAAGTAGAAAGCGCGATATCGTCACTGACCAATACACGTCGCCAGTTTTGTAGATTCCAGAATCGAACGTTATTACACCACTGGACCCGTCGGCGTTCATGTAGTCATCACAGTGCAGAGTCAAAATAGGGTCTTCTGACTCGAAGTCTAGTTTCTCGTAAACGTTTACGAATGGTTAGCGCCGACAGTCCTGCGCTGCAGTGATAATCCGAGGTCTACCACTTCGAGACCGATCTTGTGTAGAATTGGTTTCTTGATATCGGTCCCATAAACGACTGCTCTGGTGAACATTGAAGTGACGTGCAACGGCAGATTAATTGAGGTTCCCCAGCCTCCAGACGCTCAATGGCAATGTTTCGATTTACAGCAGTGAGTAACATAACGATATTCTTTCAGTTTGCTAAAAATGAATAAAAAAATTAGTAAGATTCCTGAGAAGTGCTCGTGCACATTGCCAACCACTTTTTCTCCATTACATTTTAATGCAAGTTGACATTTTCTAAGTAAACGTGCAATACAGTTTCCGAAGATGCGTTTTTTCGCTGTGCATTTGTTTCATTTACGGAAACCAGCTTTGTAATGGCGAAATTATTACAGGATCGGTTGGCCAAGCCCTCTGAGTTGATTGATGCATGTGATCGTATCTAAACTGCGTAGACTGATGGCCATGATATCAATCACTCGATTGTCTTGTCCAGATTAGATTATTTATAGACTGATTATTGCTGAGTGCAGCATTACACAATAAACAAAAACCCAAAACCCATTCTGTCTACACAGTTGGTTGGTTGATTGGTTTGTTGTTAAGTTAACGCCGCACTCAGAAATATTCCAGCTAAATGGCGGCGGTCTGTAAATAATCGAGTCTGGACCAGACAATCCAGTGATCAAAAGTATGTGCATCGATCTACGCAAGTGGGATATGATGACATATGCCAACCGAATCGGCAAGCCTGACCACCCGATCCCGTCAGTCGCCTCTTACGACAAGACCAATTCTAACCCGGATCTTCATGTGTCTGTCTGCGGTCGAGCGTCCGACGTGTTACGCTCCTAACACTGGGCTCGGTCTCTTGGTATCACCGTTTTGCCGCAGAGTCAAAATCTGAGTAAATCATGTCAGAGCAGCCTGAAAAAATCAAGTCCTCATCGGGGAAACCGGCGATTGGTAATATGAATCCCACTGGATGAGAAGCAAGAACCAGCAAAGTGTGCAAAGGTGACATTCACTTTGAGTGGGTGAGGTTTTACGCCGTTTTTAGAAACACCCCAGCAAAATCAGGACGTGGAACACCCGAAATAAGCTCCACACATTGAACTATATTGGGAATCGAAAACAGGTCTCCGGCGTGACGAGCCAACGCTTTCACCATTAGGCTGACCCACCATCCTACACTCACTTTCAGTACAGAACCCGAAGGGTTAAAATCAAGCGGGACCTACGACCATAATCCTCTTCATGCTCTTTAAAAGACTGTTGATTGTCAATCTATTTTTAAAAGGAACCAGAATTTAGTCAAAACAATGTAAGTAAATGGGTGAAAATACTGGCGGCAACATTGTTGCCACCTTTGCAACGTTTAACAATTGATAATGACGTCACACCCCGTTCTGATGTCATTTGTTCGCTAGGATGACGTCAGTACGTCAGTTAGAACGCAAACAGGCTTTCAGTGTGTTCTTCCTTGGATGTGGTTCCTGTCGTTCTAGTGGACGATCACGATGTTTTTGGCTCCTGCACACATCGCGTTATCTAAATCTCCAGAGAAAGTAACAAACTCTTCGATCATTAAGAAATTCCCTGTAAAGTTTTGGCGTATTGTAAATTCGTGTAAAACGGGAGCTGTTTGTTGGGGGTTTGGTGGCAATTCTATCCGAATTCTCAAGGAAAGATTCGAGGAGGAGTATCTATTTGGAGAAAACAAACCTTTCAAAACCGCTACATTTAGCAGCTTTATCAGGCAACTGAATCTTTACGGATTTAAAAAGATCGTAAGACCTTCTATAATCAATGAACACGGTCAGAAGTTGAATACTTCACTGGTAGAGTATAAGCACGCTTTGTTCCTCAAAGGCCACCCGGAACTTCTCCAACGTATACACCGAAACACCAAAACACAAAAGAGAAGGGAGAGGAAGAATCCGTCGGGAGAATCGACTCAGTCTGTTCCCGTTTGTGTTTCGGACCCCAAGATAAAGGTTAGTGTGATTGCATAATCAATGTCCCCAAAATGGTTAAAAAACATGTAGTTATTCACAAGATGTTTAGTGAATTCTCACTAGGTAGATCTATTCTGTAGTCTCTCAGGTATTTAGTGATAGAGTAACTGGTTCCAGTAATCCTCGGTAATGGGCCAGACTCTGAGGCTATATCGTACGTTACTGTCGAGATGACCTTTGTACCCATGCACGTACTTCACTGCATATTATATACGTACTACACAGTACATGTACTTTCGTAACATAAGTAAGTAACGGTGTCCTCAGAAAATTAAAGTTAAATGCTACAAGAAGGACACTAACCGTATCCGGTGATTTGGTTGATTCACTGATTCTCATGTTGTCAATCACTAATGTATTGCCCAGATTTATTCAAGCTGTGCATTTAAATAAAGTTAATACTTACAGAGGGAAGTCAGAGAAGATGGCTATGGGTACACAATCCATCGGCAGGTTATCAAAGAAGGTAAGTCTGTATTCACCTTTATAAATCATAGAAACTAAAAATACTTCGTTAAAATTAACAGAAGATTGCCTATGAAGCGAAGTGCATGTAAAGTTATACATGTACACAGAATTAGTGAGTGAATATGGTTTTACGCCGCCTTTAGCAAGACACCATAAATGGGCTTCACACAATGTACCCATGCACAATGTGAGGAATCAAACCCGGGTCTTCAGTGACGAGTGGACGCTTTAACCACTGGGCTGCACCACCGCACCTATACACAGAATTAAAGTTCTAAATATTACTGTAAAGTGTATATCATACATACATAATTAATCCATTCAGCGTCAATATAATCGTTGTGCGTTTCAAAGTTGATAAGTATATATATGAAACTAAACGGAATTTATCATGACGTATTTCCGTAACATCTTTATGGCTTTACATCTGACCTAATTTTAACATAATAGTAGTGTATAAATGTTTTAATACAGTAACGTTATTCTACCTTGTGTTGTGTTTAATAATTACAGACGGAGTTTCAGCGTTTCAAGACGTCACGAATCTGCAGGATAGAACATCTGGTAAAAGTGTACCCTGGGAAAGGTATGGGTAATATTTTTACATTAACGACTGACTGACTGAGTTTGGTTTTACGCCGCTTTTAGCAATATTCCAACAATATCACGGCGGGGGACACCAGATATTGGCTTCACTCATTGTACCCATGTGGGGATTCGAACCCGAGCCAACGCTTTAACCACTAGACTACCCCAATGCCCCTTTACATTAACGAAGGGCAGTGTAATATTAATATGATTAATATAAGCTCAAGGAGTAGTCCCCCTTCCTGTGAAATACATGTATATTGTAATTATGCACACAAAAAAAGCTGCATTTTTTGGTGCTATTTATATACGGTGATACCTTGATAATGTGGGACAGTAGTTTCAAGTGAAATCGCTTTGATTAAGAAATTTCATAGAGAGATGGTTCGCTAGCAGAAACGTAAAATCAGTATGCAGCAATGACTTTGTAAATATGTGCTGTGATGATTTGGGGCTTTATACAAGAACACCTTGTCATCTTCTGTTCCTGTTCTTATCAGTGTTCCTGACCAAGCTGCATCGCCTTCTACTTTACCAGCATGCACTGGACAGACCCTGGTCAGCGTGGTAGGTATACAGGCATGACTCAAATTAAGAGGGGGAAATAATTAACAAACATCTATGTTTTACCTGTTTGAAATGTTCAATTCTGGGTGACAGCTGGAAGTATAGTTATGGGTCTTGAATTCAAATCACGTGTAAAATAAGATGTTATCAAATTTTGTATGCTTCGCTTGTTTTGTATGATACATTGATGATATTTTAGATAGAATAACATTATTCATAATAATTTATTATTATGTTTTTGTGATCATAATGTCTTCTAAAACTTTAGCTGAAAACTGGACATGCATTCCCAGGCATGTTACAGTATGGTTGGTTAAATTTTGGACATCAAACAAATCCAATGTCTTATCTTATTTCAAGAGAAATAGCAGTTCAAACAAATGATGTAAGTTTCTATCGCTTTATGCTAATATTTATGCATTTTGGTTTCTTGTATGAATGATCATATGCCATGACGCTTTCGTGTCCATTTCAAAATTCAACAACTATTTTAAATGTAACAGTAAGGCATCGAATAATGAACCTATTTTTCACTTTTACTTGAAACAGGTATCAAAAGTACGTTTGACTAGTTAGATATATGTTCCCTCATTCATATGGTTTCTATCTGTAACCACAAACTCAATTGATCAATGAATAAACACTACGGACACCATGTAACTTACGCAAATCAATTAGGTGGTGTAAAATACTAGGTGGTACACACTTTGTGTGCAATGTTCACATTAGATGAATACAGATGTAATCTTGGCCAGGCAGATGTATTTCCGTGATTCCACTGTCACACTATGTGTTCATGCAGCACATCTTTGACATCACCTAACTGTAGGCCTACATCATAATGTTCTTTTCCCAGCAACTCCCCGTGACCAAGCTGCCACTGTTCAGACAACCACCTGGCAGGAACATGGTGAAGTTTGCCCCAGGTCCTTATGGACATGCAGCCAACAGCAAACCCTCAATCCAACAAATAGCACCTGTCAACATAAACAGACCCAACTCAGCTAATGCAGCTGTGCCATATCCACTACTGGGACACAATCGGAACACTGGTCCTCTGGATATGATCAAATTGGAACCATCTCTTGATACTGTGAAACCCGACACTGGAACTGGAAGACGGATTCGTCAAGTGTGTGAGGCTTTACCACCGGTGCCTAATTACAGACTCAACACATCTGATGTACCAATTCCGGGATTGATGCTTGATACAACACACCAGCTGAGTAGAAACATTAGCTTGAATCCAGATCAGAAACCACAACCAGTAAGTTGCACTGCTGGGACATTTCCTATACAGCCTTGCCCAGTCCAAACACATCCCCATGGCTTTGCAATGGCACATGGCCTAACATCTAATGTGTCAAAACCTATGAGACATAATGTATTTCCTGGAAATACACAAAGGCATCCTGTTCTGTACATAAACAAAACTCCCAGAATCCCAATAGCACCTCGACCTGTGATGAATACGGCACAATTCCAAAGACCACCTCCACTTCGTCCTCAGTATGCACTGTACGACAATGAGAAACCGACTGTCCCCAAAATAGATAATTCAGGATGTGGTGAGATGGCTATTCATCCACTTCTTAGACCTGTGCGTCAAACCTTTGACTGTACTAGTGTTTCTAATGCCACGGATGCGACCACTTATTCTAAGTATGTCCTGAAGCCGAATATTCATCTTCAAAGCATTCCTGTTGATACATCGTCAGCCAGTGAACATACAGAGTCCAATGTGTCCTTGGATGATGATAGACTTGTAGATCTGTCCCATTTCAAGCTATCATCTACCTTGAAGGATATAGATGCACCATGTGAAGAGAACATAGAAGTCGTCGACTATAACAGCCACACACTTTCTACAAGCTATATTATCAATACAGCAACTTCAGGAGTTACAACAATAACATCTTCAGTCCCGGCTGCAGAACAAACATGTCAAGTTCCTGAACATAACATGAAAATATCACCTGAGGATACATTTTCAGTTCCAGCAAAAGATGACAACCAAATTTGTTCTGAGGATTCAACAGCTAGTTCACCAAGTCCGGCAACAGCATTTTGGGAGGTGACGACATTAACTCCACCATCTACAGGACCTAAACGACAACTGTTCAAAAACAGTGTGACAAGAAGACTCACAATCCCAGTGAGTGGACTTCCTCGGGACCTGTTCTCAGTCCAGACAGCAGCAGGTGAGATCACTGACCAGAGTGAAGCAGTCATAACTCTAGAGACTTCAGAGGATGGACATGTCACTGGACATCTGATACTGCCTGGTAAAGATGCTGAAGGGTCCAAAAGCACCGAATTGTAAAACACATGCTTTATATACTAGAGACTGAAGAATAGTAGTGACCACAGTGAGTTTGTAGAATACCATTGACTGACTGAGTTTAGTTTTACGCCGCTTTTAGCAATATTCCAGCAATATCACGGCGGGGGACACCAGAAATGGGCTTAACACATTGTGCCCATGTGGGGAATCGAACCCGGATCCTCGGCGTGAAGAATACCATTGAAACACAAGCTTTATGTACTAGTGACTGAAGAATAGTAGGTCTCTGTCCATTATGCACCAGAGTGAAGTTGTACAATGCCACAAGAACACACGTTTTATATATTACTGAAGAAAGAATAGTAAATCTCTAGCTACAACCCAGTTTGAATAGTCAGTTAAAAGTATCTTGTTAACATGAGAACTGATTTTCAAAGTGCCATTGTTCATTGTCTACACATGAGGCACATTTACAAAATGACGTCTACAGGGATCAATGTGTTGTTTCTTAGCACACTGGGCGTTAGGAATGGATCTGGGGGACTATATACTTGTATATTGTAATGCCATGTATCACAAAAGTGATCCTTTCATCTTGCGTCAAATCAAATTGTACCTGTTATTTTATTCTGCTCATAATGTATGTCAGAAGCAGTTTATGAATCACTTGTTGCTAGTTTTAATTAGGTATAGGTCTTGGTATTGCCTCCTGTATGTCTCACAGGATGTGTTATTTTACCCCATGCTTGTAATGCTTCAAGTGACTTCTGTATCTGGGCCCCGTTTTACAAAGCTCTCGTTTGCCTAAGATCTCATAACTTTTCACGTAGCCTTCGTACCTCCTATACTATAACATAGGAGGTACGAAGGCTACGAGAAAAGTTACGAGATCTTAAGCAAACTAGAGCTTTGTGAAACAGGGCCCTGGACGTTCATGGTCTCACAAGGAAGCACTAAACCTATTACCTGAACAATTTTGTAAGTAGGACAGTTTCAGCTACACCTAATTAATGATTAACGGAGAGAAATAATTCAGATGAAATGCTTTGAAAGGACATCAGATAGCACTTTGCAAAACACATCAAAAACATGATGCAATGTGTATAATGTTGTTCCATGGTAACAATTGCTTCAGTATTTAAACATAAGAATGTTATAGTTTCTCTTTCAAATGTAAAATCTGTTACCCATTTACTTCATATTGTCACTGTTATATACAATTTTTGCAATATTTCCACAAGGAATGTAATCTTTACTCAAAGGAATAAAAATATATTTAAGCGATGAAAAGTATATTTGTTTATGACAAATCCAGTGACCTATTGTTAAACCATTTTATGGATAATAAATGAGTGGGCGAGACCAGAAATGGGCTTCACAAATTGTACCCATGTGGGGAATCGAACACAGGTCTTTGGCGTGACAAGCGAACGCTTTAACCAAACAAAATTAAACTCACTTACTTCATTATTATGCTGAACAATGTGTAAATTGCTCTGAAAGGCTTCCACTATGCCAGACTGCTTGGATAGTAGCATGTTTGGTTTACAATTAAAAATATATTAAACCTTGGACTATTGTATATATAAACAGTATTTGACATTAGTGTGCGAATGTTGCTTTAAACCTGAATCTGCAATATTCTTTTCGCTTTACAGTTGTCTGTAAAAAAATGTATCTCAGCCTGACAAATCAGTGGTTGATAGTATGGCCAACATTCTACAACATGAGTTGTAAACAAAGTATGCCTTAATGGAAACAGCTTCTAAGAAGAACCACCAACAACAAAGTACATGTGACTAGTTTAATGGACACACATATATATACAAGTGCTACAACTGGTCAGCCTGTGCTCTGTGAGGTGGTCTGCTGTAGCTCGGCCAAGGCCCACTGCTTGTTCTCAAGCTCCCCTCTCAGTTTTGTGTACTCCTCCACCAAGCTGTCAAATCCCATCCCCACCGCCTCGTACGCACGCAATGCCTGACCCACTCGCACCAAGTCCTTCTCATGGTCATCTATAGCTGAGTCCAAATGTTTCCTGCAAGGAAAACAACCAGACATACATCTTTTCCAAGACCCCTTCCAAGACAACAAGCATTGTCACTAAGGTGACATAATCCCTCGCCGCAAATTATCAAATCAACCTTAAAAAGTAATAAAAGTTTAAGATGAAGTTAAATGTCAACAAAAACATGACCAGTCAATAGATGAAGCTTGGTGTCCAATATGAAAAAAATCCATTGAATGTTTTTTGCGATATCTTGCTGACTATCTTAACATGCTGGGCCTTGCACTTTCCCTAGATGAAGCTTGGTGTCCAATATGAAGAAAGTCCAGTGAATGGTTCTTCAGATATCTCGGTTACCATCTTAACATGCAGGTTAACATACTGAAATCTTCAAAGTGTGGCTGTGACCTTGAAAATTAAGTGAAGGTCACCAAAATCGACTTGGCCCTGTGCCTTCCCTAGATAAAGCTTGGTGTTGAATATGAAGAAAATCCAGTGAACGGTTCTTAAGATAGCTTAACATGCAGGTTAACATGCTGAAATCTTCAGTGTCGTCATGACCTTGAAAATTAGGTGAAGGTCACCAAAATTGACTGGGCCCTGTCCCTTCTCTAGATAAAGCTTGGTGTTGAATATGGTGAGCGGTTCTTGAGATATCTCGCTGACAAGAGTAAAACGTTAAAGTCCCTTGTGACCTTGAATGAAAGTCAAGGGCACCAAACCTGACTGGGACCTTTCTTATACTGTGATGAACCTAGGTACCAAATATGAAAAGAATCTAGTTCTTAAGATGTTCTAATTTCTACAGACGGACGGAGCCTAATACTATATAATAAAAAATGAGTCCTCAGTATCATGCTGCCAATGGCACTGATAACAGCTTCTGTTCTTAATCGCTGGTTTGTCTAGTCCAGGAATGATTCATAGGATGTGTTGTAGCTTGTATATTGCAGACTAGGATTATAAATAAACATGCACCTTCTCTGAACTAATCTGCAAGATAAACAAATGAACATGTAGCTGTGCCAGGGAAATGAGAATCCAGTATAGAATGGCTGCAGAAAAATATATGTTGTGTACCAGGGACACACAATAACATTTACTGAAATAAATTCTCGGCAAGCAAAAAACTTACTGTTATGAAGTCATGATTACATTTTACAGTACTGATAAATACTCCACCCAATTACATTATATGACCCTTATATGTCCTGTGTACCAGTGAAGAATAGGTTTGAATTGATCTTCAGTAGATAAATGCACATGCTGTTGATCACTGGATTGTCTGGTCCAGATTCAATTATTTACAGACCACCACCATATAGCTGTAATATTGCTGAGTGTGGCGTAAAACTAAACTCACTCAATCACTATACGTCCTGTGAGTACAGTTAAATACTCTACCTAATTACGTTTCATGACCCTTATATGTCCTGTAAGTACCCTTGAAATTAGTAACAAGGGGGTTCCTTTGGTCCCATAGTTTTGTAAGGCAAACCCTGTATGCAACAGATCGTGAGGAGAGAACTATGAGGTGAGGTGAGGTGAATTTGGGTTTATTGTTGTGCTTAAGAATATTTCGCTCATATGACGACATCCATGCGTGTGTATGTGTATGTGCAGCTGCTTGTACTAGCCCACTGAGACACATTATACTGACTCCGAGCCTACCAGTCCTTGTTGTATCCATTAATGCCAAGCACCAGGCAAGAGAACTATGAAGACTACACAGTCAGCACTACCGACTTGCCAAAATCATTGACCAGGATGATCAGTTTTATCAGCATGTCATGTCACTTTTGCAACTTCACACCTTGAGGACAGTGAAAAAAATATGGACTTGTAAAATCCATTTGGATACAGCTTTCTTCTGGTGCCTTTTTTTGTTCCATGTCTCACTCCAAATGTCTGTTATCCTGAGTTTCCTAAATTCAATACATCAACAAATTGAAGCAATGCCATTCAGAAATCATAGACCAAACGTCAAAAAGACAAAGATGCAGCATCATATTTCGACCAAAAAGTTCATTAACGCCTTTTTACAACTGGCTGCATATTGCTTTCAGTGAGTGAGTGTGGTTTTATGCTGCTTTGAGCAATATTCCAGTATTTTATGTTCCAATAACGTGCCAGCTGGGGACACCAGAAACGGGCTTCACACGTTTCACATGTTGAAAATCGAAAGTGGTTTAACCACTAAACTACTCAACTGCCTCGAACTACAGCAGTGGCAGAGAATGAGATTATCGCACCAACATTTCTTAATTAAACTATGATGTCACTCCATTGTGACCTTGAATTGTGACACCAGAAATGAGCTTCACACATTGTGCTCATGGGAGGAACTGAACCCGGGTCTCCAGCGTGAAGAGCGGACGCTCCAACCATTAGGCTACCCCCACCCCACTACACACATTAGACAATGATGAGGTACCTAATAATAAATACATTGTATCTTTTACCCATTTGATATAGAATGGAAACTTCAATTTAATAATATTTCTAAGAAACTCATTCACAAAAGTAACTGTAAAATTACAGGAAATGAAAAATAAACATTGATATATAATATATATATATATATATTGATAGGTAGATTTGAAATTGAAATTAAGAATTATTAAAATGTTTACATAATAATATTTGCTAAAGAATCAGAAACAATATGGTGGTGTTTCTTCAGCCCAATTTAACAGCAGTGCATCTAAATTTTCATGGACAAAAAGGCTGTTTCTAGTTTGGCCACTGACAGAACTTTTGCTGTTGAGTATATGTCAATCAGTGTCCTACCTGACCACGTCTAGAGCCTGCACAGTCTCTGCAGTATAGGTGTCACACAGAATCTGGAGTTGAACTAATCTGAAATATAAACACAAACATTCAAACATAGATACACAGAATCTTAAAACTGCAAAATGTAAAATTAAATGCTCAGGGTCTGTTGTACATCTCCTTTTAGCAATATTCAAGCACACTGACTGGGGACAATAATGGCTCTACACACTGCAACCATGTGGGGATTATAAGCAAATGATCTAACACAGAGTCTTCCCATATTCTCATATGTGATAAGGTCATGACAGTGCTGAAGTATAGTAGTATAGTCAAGTACGTACAATACATCCCACTCACCCCACAAAATACCCATCAACACCTGACATAACTCCACTGTGGAAGGTAGTGTTGGGAATTGGTTAAAATCTCATAATTGATGATTGGTTTATTACAACCGATCAATCATCGAAAAAAATTGGTTAGCGTCATTAATGAAATTTGTTAATGCACATAAAAATAACGAAAAAACATGTAGTTCTTTGGGGTTTTGGGGCAAAATTTCACATCTTTAAAGGATGACTAGTATGTCAGGAACATAAATTCATGTCAGGAACATGTAACAGACAAAACCAACCTTGTGAAAAAAATTGTTTGTGAAAACAAGTGTTCCAGAATTGTTTGTGTTCGATTATGAGAAAACATGATCGATTGCTTGGTCGTTTAGTCACTGCGACCAATCTTCGATTATTTCAATTAATCGGACCACCACTAGTGGAAGGCCAACGCTGTTGCAGGGAAAGTCTGCATGTATCAGCTCATGAAGATGAAAAACGAGAGAACTTTCATAGAAAGAGACATGAACTATGTAAATGTTTACAACACTCCTTGTTACAATGGTATCCAAGTTGTTAATAACTGACTTACTTTATTTTGAGACACATGGCATCACACCTGGCAATGAGCCATTCACTGGTGACCAGATCAGATTCCACCTGCCGATCTAGCTTGTAGTCCTTCAACACCTTCTCCAAGACTGACAGCAAGTCTAGCAGGGTCTGAAACAGAACAGTTGAATCTATCTTGTGGCACTTCAACACCATGTCCTAAACCATTGAAAACCTGCTACTGTAAGAGGGTAATATCACAGCAATACCTGGTGGTACAAGAGGGTGATATCACAGCAATACCTGGTGGTAAAAGAGGGCAATATCACAGTGATACCTGATGGTACAAGAGGGTAATATCAGTGATACCTGATGGTAAAAGAGGGTAATATCACAGTGATACCTGTTGGTACAAGAGGGTAATATCACAGCAGTACATAGTGGTACAAGAGGGCAATATCACAGCGATACCTGCCGGTAAAAGAGGGTAGTATCACAGTGATACCTGTTGGTACAAGAGGGTAATATCACAGCGATACCTGGTGGTACAAGAGGGTAATATCACAGCAATACCTGCTGGTAAAAGAGGGTAGTATCACAGTGATACCTGTTGGTACAAGAGGGTAATATCAAAGCAATACCTGCTGGTAAAAGAGGGTAGTATCACAGTGATACCTGTTGGTACAAGAGGGTAATATCACAGCAATACTTGATGGTAAAAGAGGGTAATATCACAGTGATACCTGTTGGTACAAGAGGGTAATATCACAGCAATACCTGCTGGTACAAGAGGGTAATATCACAGCAATACCTGATGGTAAAAGAGGGTAATATCACAGTGATACCTGTTGGTACAAGAGGGTAATATCACAGCAATACCTGCTGGTAAAAGAGGGTAGTATCACAGTGATACCTGTTGGTACAAGAGGGTAGTATCACAGTGATACCTGTTGGTACAAGAGGGTAATATCACAGCAATACCTGATGGTAAAAGAGGGTAATATCACAGTGATACCTGTTGGTACAAGAGGGTAATATCACAGCAATACCTGACGGTAAAAGAGGGTAGTATCACAGTGATACCTGTTGGTACAAGAGGGTAATATCACAGTGATACCTGGTGGTACAAGAGGGCAATATCACAGCGATACCTGGTGGTACAAGAGGGCAATATCACAGCAGTACATAGTGGTACATTAGGGCAATATCACAGTGATACCTGGTGGTACAAGATGGTAATATCACAGTGATACCTGGTGGTAAAAGAGGGCAATATCACAGCGATACCTGGTGGTACAAGTGGGTAACATCACAGCAGTACATAGTGGTACAAGATGGTAATATCACAGTGATACCTGGTGGTACAAGAGGGCAATATCACAGTGATACCTGGTGGTACAAGAGGGCAATATCACAGTGATACCTTGGTGGTACAAGAGGGCAATATCACAGTGATACCTGGTGGTACAAGAGGGCAATATCACAGTGATACCTGGTGGTACAAGATGGTAATATCACAGTCGAACCTGTGGTACAAGAGGGCAATATCACAGTGATACCTGGTGGTACAAGATGTTAATATCACAGCAGAACCTGGTGGTACAAGAGGGTAATATCACAGCAGTACATAGTGGTACAAGATGGTAATATCACAGTGATACCTGGTGGTACAAGAGGGCAATATCACAGTGATACCTGGTGGTACAAGAGGGCAATATCACAGTGATACCTGGTGGTACAAGATGGTAATATCACAGTGATACCTGGTGGTACAAGAGGGCAATATCACAGTGATACCTGGTGGTACAAGATGGTAATATCACAGTCGAACCTGTGGTACAAGAGGGCAATATCACAGTGATACCTGGTGGTACAAGATGTTAATATCACAGCAGAACCTGGTGGTACAAGAGGGTAATATCACAGCAGTACATAGTGGTACAAGACGGTCATATCACAGCGATACCTGGTGGTACATGATGGAAAAAAGGTACAAAAGGGTAATAGAGCAGCCTTAACTCAAAGTGAAGATGGCAATAGTGCAGCCCTACCTGGTAGTACAGCCAGAACTGCTTGTCTCTCTTCCGATGTATCACTTGGACCTGTTTCTTATCCTCACTGAGCTGATGTTTGTTGGTCTCAATCTCACCAGGTAGCTGCACTGCCTTGGACAAAGTGAGACGGGTGCTGTCTGCAATACACGTAATTATCACATCAACTAGTAAATATCTAGTATATATTTGGAGAAGACTGACTGCAGAGTAAATGTATATTCTACTGGTTCATAAGCAAAATAATCAACAGGTTCCATAATCATTGCTTTTCAATATGTGAAAACTGTGAAAATAAACGGTTCATTTTTCTGAGAAGTCTGGAGATCAGAATCTGTGTTTTGTAAAACAAGAAGTTGGTCTGACCAAATATATACTCCCATGAAGTTGACTTTCCAAGTATGGGTGTCTGAGAAACATGAATACACAAAAACAATGGTTATATTAGACCAATATCCAAGGATTTTGGTTTGTCGAAATGGTAGACATGGAAATAGAGAGGCTGAGTTCATTCCAAAGATCATATTCAGTATTCATAAGCATCATAGACAAAAATCTTAGAAAGCCAGGACATTTGGCTTTGTTGCTACTATTTCTGTTGTAAACTTCCGCATTTCTACAATGTTCTGCTTGTTCAATGTAGCTCTCCTAAAGTCCTATCTACAGAGATGCCAACCTCGCTAAAAATATTAGCCTCAAACTACGCCAATACAATTGCACTAGAAATTCTACGAAATTTGAAGACAATTCATTCAAATTTGTACATATATTTTCAAAAATTATATACATTATCGATTAAAATAGATTATGGCCAAAAAGAAATGTAATGGTGATAATTAGGAAATTTGCTGGTGGAGGTATGTGAACATTAAAGCTTCACTCTTGATAAGTGTCATATCATCTTTCTCAGAATCCATCATGATTATTTAGTTGACTACTAATCTTATGGTCAAACTGCTAATTTTGATCCTTGAACCTACCATTTGCAACACTTTTGGGATTGCATCTATGTATCTAGTTACTCTGATACAATCTCTCTATTGGGAGGTAAAATGCATATACAAAATGTATTCTGATCCAAGGGAGATAATTCTTTGAAGGATTTTATGTCTGTTGTAAGCTTCCATTTAAAATTATACAACTGTATGCTTGATTTTACTGTTAGTGTGTACAGAATACGCTGAAGTCACGTGTACATGTCAGGTGTACAGTCCAGGCAGTTTTCTACAAGACCACAAGTATTGTCAGAGCATAGGTTTTCAGACAGCTGTGCATTCTCAGGCTATAAGAAGGGGTGTTATGTCACAAAGACATTGTAATTTCTTGAATGATAGCCTGTGTTTAGGATAAAGTTATCTTTCCTAAGTAAATGATATGTTTTATTGTCTTTCATGTCTGTGAAGTTACTATTGTGGACATTTTTTTTAAGAGACTTCATTTCAACACACATATCCTAGGGCTCCAGATAAGGGCCGTATCAGCGTATGTACGGATAAGAAATATGCACGATACGGTAGGAAACAATTTAGAAAATGTAGCAGATACGCACCACAGCAATGGTGTACAGTCTCAGAATTATTTACAGACGTATTTATCTGAAAAATTATTGTTTTATTGTTTATTGACCGGTTTACACAAGAGTAGCCATGTTGTGGTGGATATATGAAACGAAACACAAGATTACTGATACTCCATTAAATTCCATTCAGTACTCTAAATGTACTCTTAAGGTTTTCCAGTACTCCTGTATGGGAAAAATAATGAGTACGTACTCTTGATGTTGAAAAATTATCTGGAGCCCTGATATCCTTCAAAAACAATGTTCCATAATAGCAGTTGTTAAATTCAATACTGAAACAAACAGTGAAAAGAAGAAAGTTCTCTTTGTTCTTAAGGTTGGTAATATTCTTTTATACACCCAGTGGTAAATAACTACTTGTGAACCAGGTGGATGGAGTCAAGGAGTGAGTTAGCTCCCTTTGCAACAAACATGCATTCTTAACTACTTGTCCCTTTCCGTAACCTGAAAGAAGACTCGTACCCATCTCATAGCCATGTCCGGGAGAAATATTCCCATGCCAATCAGAATGCATGTACGTAGAGAAGAAATTGGGTCAAAATAGTTTGTTGAAATCATTTTCATTTCGGGCTTGCATAATTTCCCTCCCATAAGACACTTCAAGTATATTTTAATTATTGCAAAATCCTCCTGGGTTCCTGAATTTTTATAAACAGGATATATTAACATTACGGCGTAAGAAAGTATTCACTGTCTTTAAGCATGTTAAACATACCCTTTGAGGTAATTTCTTTGGCGTGGATGCCATGTTTGTTTTCCAGGTAAACTAGAGCTACATGCCCTTGAAAATAGTTCCGCAACTAGACTAATTCTTTCTCTCTTCGCTTTTGAGCTCAGACAGAGCCATGTTAAAAAAAATGTCTACAAGAGGGGTAAGAGTTTTCTTTCAGGTTACGGAAAGGGACGAGTAGTTACGAAAGAACAGACATCCTGTCACCATTTGTTTTTGTTGGATGGAACCTATTATATACTGGCAATGAGAGTTGATTGTCATGACATGATGCTTTAGTACTTATGTCTGATGGTGGTCAAATCTGATGTGTGCCAGCATGTACAAGTGTGAACTGTTGAATAAAAATCATGAACTAAACGCGTAAAAAATACACAGCAAGGAAACTTACTTCGGAAAAAGTAATTTATGGCATCACATTTTGAACTCAGGCTTTATGATTATCTCTTCCATAAGCTTACAAAGTTTCATTTATCTAACATCAGTAGTTTCTGGGAAAACTTGTACCAACTTCATGCAGTATGCACCAAGCCTAAAAACATGTGGCAAGGGCCATAACTCTTTCAGAAAGCATTTTAAGACATACAGTTTTCAAATTCATGTTAGAAAGTGACCAGTTATGTCAGTGTGTAAATTCTGGTCTCTCACTTAATAAATCTGTTCACATTAGAAGCAGATAGACGAAAAGTTGGATGGACAGTAGGGATGTCATAAGTTTCACATAAGTTTCATGAATTGATATGTATCACGATACCCATGTCACAATTCCATACGTATCACGATATCTATTTTCGTGCCATTATTGCGTAAATTTAGTTACCTTTTGAACATTAATATACTGAGGGGATAAAATAAGGGATCACATGAAAGCACAAGTGTTCCTTTATTTGTTTCCAGGTTTCTTCACAAGCTATGTGATACAACACTTGTGAAGAAACATGGACAAAAATAACGGAACACTTGTGCTTTCACAAGTGTTTGCTTTGTGATCCCTTATTTTTTTCCCTCAGTATATTTCAGATTTTATCATTGTCCATGAAAAGATCAACATTTTTTATTCTCAGACATTAAAAAGTGTATTATTGTATTGTATTATTACCTATTCCCTTGTTGTTGTTGTTAATCCCTTTGATGTATTCCCTCATGTTGTCTTACTTCATCCCTGTTTCATGTATATAAGTCGGTTCTGTGCTGTATTGCTTTATTCTTGTTTGACAACGGTACAAGAAGCTATACCGAAATGTCGCATCACAAGAAATAAAGAAGTTGTTATCCATAAAGTATTAACTTTTGAGTTACGACAGGTCGCAGCATTAGGAACGCTTTGTGGATCGGGATCCTGGCTATCAATAACTGCTCTCATACAAGAGCTTACCTGACAGTTTTGGTGGTTGATAGAACGTGACAAGATTTTCACATTTCCTTTGTAATCGAGCTTCAATCTCTGGAATCAGTCTTTGCTGCACTGATGAAATATGCTGCCAATGAAAAGAGATTTTCAATAATAGAACAGTCAGAATGAAACGTTTTGAACTGTATTCTCGTTCTATCATAATGTGGACGGAAACGATCCCAGCATATTACCAGTTTTGGTGAAACCAATGAGCAGAGGAGTGGTGCTAATAAACCTGCTTATACATCCAAAAGTAGAGTCATGACAAGACTGCCCCTCTGACAGACATGAAGGTCCATGGTTCAAATACCAATACAGGACTTGCTACTTTTTTCGCTGCTACTTTGGAGTCCAACATGGGGTTGAGCATGCTCATACTTAATTTGAGCAAACAAATCTCAGTACCCTGCTATATGGCCAGGGATGTACCTTCTGTTGGTGGGACAGTATGTACCAGGATGTGGAGTCATCCTACAGATAATATCTATACCTTGTCAACTTGCTGATGTTTATATACCAATGTTTATGGTCTCCATGGTCATGTGAACAAGGCATGCAAATTTGGACAAGAAGGTTCATGGTTCGATTCCCAGTAGTTGCACAGCTATTACATTGACAAACTTCGAAGCTTAATATTGGTAATGCTTGGTTTTGAATCAACAATCAAGTTTCTGGCATGCCAAAGGGAAGTAACTCTGCTCAGCAAATAGCAGCACCTGAGACACCTGAATCATCAGTCATCAGTACATTGTTTTGTATCAAGTTTTCAAAACAGCATTTTGATGATGAAATCAAAGACTCTGAAGCTTGATAAAGGTTAAGCATGTGGCAATGTTTCCAAGATATTATGTAGGATATGGTAAAGACCATTCATGGGATTGAAATGTTTGGATTTTATTTTTTTATTTTCATTTATAATCGATAGTCAATTGCTTTTTCAAGACAATGAGCTATATTGAATTTATCATCACATCAAAACACTACTGTATATGTGAAAATACATGCCACAAGAATCACCTGACTTTGTTCTGGAACATTTGCATTATAGCTGGAATCATTGAAGCAAAGTCCTTCTTCATGTTGTTTTGAGATGTAGAAAATAATGACTAACAATAGAAGCTGACTTTGTTAATGTGAACTAGAAGGGTGCCATGTTACCATGGTTACACATGTATGCTGGTGTTTCCTGCTTGCACTGTTAATGTGAACTAGGAGAAGGGTGCCATGTTACCATGGTTACACATGTATGCTGGTGTTTCCTGCTTGCACTGTTAATGTGAACTAGGAGAAGGGTGCCATGTTACCATGGTTACACATGTATGCTGGTGTTTCCTGCTTGCACTGTTAATGTGAACTAGGAGAAGGGTGCCATGTTACCATGGTTACACATGTATGCTGGTGTTTCCTGCTTGCACTGTTAATGGAGTTACCTTTCTGTAGACATTGTGTCTGTTGACATCCTCCTGTGTGAGGCCAAGCAAAGTTGCCTTGGATGTTGGGTCAGGGCTGAAGTCAAGGTAGTCACCTATCTCGCTGTATGTCAGACAATTTTGGAGAATCACCAGGAACTGTTGACAAAGAGAGATCTGATTATGCAGATTTGTATACACTCATGTACCAATACATTGATACCTACATATCTAATAAAATGCTACTTCCTATTTGTGGCCATTCTGATGATAGCCCACAGGATACATGACCACTGCACCAGTGAGTGAGTGAGTGAGAGAGAGAGAGAAAGAGATATTCCCACAATACCACGGTAGGGGACACCAGCAATGGGCTTCTCACATTGTAACCATGTGGGGAATCGAACCTGGTCTTCAGCATGATGAACGAACACTTTACCCACTAGGCTACCCCGCCCTCCCTCCAACTATGTGAGTTACCTGCTTGTCATCTGATGCCAGCGACACCTCCTGACTCTTGATCCCATAGTCCAGAATCAGCTCCTGGACTTCATGATGGAGGATGTGGTGCAAAAGCCAAGTGTGCTTCTCATGTTTCAACACCTCCTGGGCCTACAAGAGACAGTGCCATTATTTCACCATCCTGAATAACCGAATTGCAGAGGGTGTCTGTTGCTATTGCTAAGTTGTTCCAAACAAAGGTAAGGTGACAAACCGGTGTTGTTATACATCATGAGACACAATACATTGGATAATCCAGGATGTCAATTGTGCCATATACAAGAAACTATTTGCTGGATGATTGTATAGAAAGATAAAGACAATTTTAGGTTACCATTACTCACAGATTCAAATGGTAACTAATAATTAATTTCATGAGTGATAGGTTTCTGTCTTAAAAACTAAAGATGACTTTGTGTTGAAAAACAAACTCAATCACAAAATGTAAGTGATTAATCATCAGTTTTATTCATCCATATCTTTTTCAAATAATAATGATAAAGTTTAACATTTAAACCACCTCCTATCTGATTACTAGAAATTGAGAGGGAAAAGCATCACTAGTAAGAATTCTACTGTTATGCATGTTGGAGTATAATTACAAATATTGCATACATCTTGACAAGATTGTCACATAATTAGAGAACTGAATTTCATAAAATTGCCAACATGAAACCACTTCAACCACTGACCTCATGAAACATGTTAAATATATGTATAGTCTATAACTTGAATCTAGTACTACTAGTAGTAGAATTTCATCTAATATGGAAATAGCAGCTTATTTTAGTGCTTGAGATAAGGGTAAAATTTACAGAAACCAGTACCAAAATACATGTTTAGACATTTAGACTCAAAAGTACTTGACACAGATAGCATGTATTGTATCAGACTAAGTTCACCAGTCAGGGGTGGAAATAACCCATTGCCCGACGTCCCAGTCCAGTGTGTTTTTCTGTCGGGCAAGCAAATTTGTACATCATGCTGTACTGGTGTCCAGTTGATTTTCCAATGTTAATTATGTTGTTTATTTAAAAAAATCAAAAAGAAAATCAGCCGGTATAGAGGAAAAATTATCAGGGCAAGTGATTTTACACTGTACTGGAGTACACTAGCAGTTTTAAAGTTATTTCCACCCCTGCCAGTGCACTGATAAACTGTTACATCCTGATTATCAGATGACAAACCTGTACAAGATCCTTGTGTGTTTGTAGTCCTATGCCTTGTTCATTGATGTGTTTGGTTAATCCAGTCAAGAGCTTCACAAATCCCGGATTGCCCTCAACATCTTGAGGTGTCAGCCTCAAGGGCAATAATGTATTCACTGAAGACAAATGCAACATCATTACAACTTACAAAACATTGAATTTTCAATTCTAGTGGAATATCTCTTGAAAGCAGACTTGTGTGGAACCAAAACTTTCATTCAGTTTAGACAGTGGTCTAGATAAGTAGACATTTATCCGGAGTTGTGTCCCTTGTGCAGGATTAAACTCTCTTTGTCAGGGCGAAGCTATGCCTGGTAAATGATCTTATCTTATTAACAAAAACCCTTCCGAGGGTACTATCATAAACAATTGGTTCTTGTTTATCAAATCATCAGAACCTGATTGTTTGCATTGTGCAACATGCACACTAGCCATTTTCTCAGCGAAACTTGGGAATTGACAAAAAATGTACTTAAAAATTAGTTTCCACAAAATGCATTGGATGTTTCTGTCAAAAGAAATAGCTGACCCATACCCTGCTTCACAATCCCTTGGATCGTAAAGGGGTGCTTAACCTTAGGATCGTGATGAAGGGGTGGTGGGTTGCACAGGAGTGGCCACTTGCCAATCCTGTTGATCGTAAAAGCGTGCGTGATAATGATCAGAAAGGGGATCCAAATGAGGCTAGAATGAACTTTACCAGGCGCAGCCCTCGCTGCTCGCTGCGGGGCAATTATCGCGTTATTGCGCTGTCTCGCGGTAATTGCTCCGTCATCCTTCACTTGACAGTCAACCATCCTTAGGGTTACGATCTTAAGGGAGCTGACGCATCTTATCTTTAGAGTCAAGCAACTCTTTACGATCCTTAGGGTTAGGGTATGGCACCCTTTACTATCCTTAGGGTTAGGGTTAGCAACCTTTCCGATCCTTAGGGTTAAGGTTTAGGGTTAGGGTATGGCACCCTTTCCAATCCTTGCGTTAGGGTTGAGAGAGGGGTAGGGTTTTGGAACCTTTCTGATTCCTTAATTAGGGTTAGGGACCCTTTCTGATCCTTATTTTGGGTTAGACCTTACCTTAGGGCAGTATAATCATATTATATCCAATTGAATATATTGATCCATCCGGTACTCGTCAGTACAGTCCAAGAAATAATGGCATGAAAAAAAAATGAATGGGAAGGGCTTGGCACAGTGGGGGGAAGCGTGAGAAATGTAAACAAACCATTGCGCATGCTGCTGTGGAAATGACCCGTTAAACGAGCACACATTAACTGTGATGGTGCTCATGGTCCAGAGGTAGAGCGTCCGCTAATTACGTCACTAATTAATGAAGTCAGTAATCCAGTGAAGCGTGTTCGAGCCCCAGCTGCTCTAATTAATCTGAAAAAGTGGGCCCGGTAAAGTGCAGTACTCCCCCAAACGAATATATGAGTTTGGTGAAACCTACTCTAACAAAACTAACCCTTAGGATCAAAGAGAAGTCTGTCTCACAGTCCCTGAACCACATTATTTTCCCTACTGCCAATAAGCCCTCTCTGCAGTGCTAAAGCCCTAAATAAAGCAAGTCTAGATTTCCTCAGGTTCAGGAATCTCTGGTCTCCCTAGGGCTCCTTTTCCATTTAAATGGGCTTGTTTGTTACTATCGTCCGAGTATCGAAATTATATACATTCAGAGACAGCATTAGTCTAGATCAAAGAGGTACAAACTCCTTTCTTTTTAACTTAGTAGTTCTAAGAATGTAAACACACGGCTGAGAAAGTGTCTTAGACCAAGAAACGACAGGAGCTCCTGATCGTACATCCCCACTGAGATATAATCAAACCCTAAAGATATGACAATTACATACAGCGATCGGAAGACTTGATTGCTTGATCTCTAACTTCACTTCTTACGTCCATGTCCGTTCACAGCATTGAAGTTCCCGCGATCTGTCATCCTACAATACGTTATGTACTAATGAAAAACAAAATTAAATAATAAAAGAACAGCAATAATACACTGCAGTTAGATACATAGTATGCGTACATAAAAAACTAAGCTACGTGTCGATTCATGAAACACCAGATAAAATGTTAACAATAAATTTAGAGTAGGACATCGAGCCAAAGTAAAGAAATCCACCAATCAGAGCAACGTTCTTTATTTGCTTCTCATTCAAACAAAATGGCGGCCGCCATAGAAGGGGTGCTGGATGAAAGGGTGCGCGAGAAAACGCTGAAGTGCAAATTATTGGTGGTTGGGGCTGGTGGAATAGGATGTGAGCTGCTGAAGAATCTTGTCCTGACTGGCTTTAAGGATATTGAACTGGTACTTTACTTTTATTGATACATAATCCCGATAGTTGAAGTTAGTTGTCCAAGACTTCAAGTTCCATGAATGCATTCTTCCGATAGTTTTTACAGTGAGTGAGTGAGTGAGTGAGTGAGTGTTTAACGTCACATCGCTACAGAACAAGTATCACTTCACTATATAGACAAACTTTATGGATAACAACTTCTTTATTTCGTGAGTGCGACGTGGTAAGACTTCCACCTGTATCCCCCCTAATTTATAACGATGAGGAAACATTTCTTTGAGTGACATTTTTAGAAGTTGGATATGTCTTTCAGTATGTTCAGATACAATTAACTCTTTCAACACCAGTCAACCATAGGCATTTACTGCCATGGCACCGAGTTCCCAGAGACTCTAAGGTCACAGGTGAAGCCTATGTTTATGAAGGAAATTATAAGCTTGTAAAACGTTATTGCTACTAGGAAGGCGTTTCCTATTCTCGCGGTACTTACGGATATCGGCTGAAAAAATAACACAAACAATTCTTATCGTATGAATGCTTGTTGTTATTAAATGAAGGGCCTTCTCCTCTAACATCTACATCTATCAGCTGCCAGATCCATCAGGTGAATTACCACTCGTGAGCCCAGTGATAAACAATGTCATCCGCCATTGACGAAACGAGGCTTCTCCCATTCTCGTGGTATTACCAGGAATTAACGTTATTGAGTGTATGTAAGAGCAATCCTGCCTGAAAGTGCGGGAAAAAGTAATGATATACATGTCCAAGTTGGTATAAACTCCCCAATATTCGTGACACTTAAAGATTTTGATCATTCACCGACTTGGTCCACTTCCTAGTTACCAGTCGATGATGTAAACAACCGCTAAGTGTCACGCATCGGCGATTTCGACAGAAAACGTATTTACCGCGAGATAGGAGACGGACCTATACATCTCATACAACATTTAAAAGATGTTATTCAAATAATACAACTACAACTTAAATAGATTTATTTTTGTAATGAAAATGCAAGCTTACATTTATAATGTCCAGATAAACCACGAAAGAAGCAAAAACTATGGCGATTTTTTTCCATTTGTGACATGTCATAACATGCCCGTGCCTTTTTCGTTTATATTTTCATTTTTACGTAATCAGAAAATCATCATAAAAAAAGATTTCTTAAATAATAATATGTATGGTCGCTTATTTCCCGATATCAGTGGCTTTCCGCTCGGTAACATGACACAACAACGGAAAATACCTCCGTTTTCGAAGCTTTGTATGAATAACATGGGAGGCGAACCGTTTGATGTCGGGTATCGTTCGAAAGCTCTGAACATCAACAACATGACTGTACCCTTGCCGAGAGTATTTTCACAGTTGTAAGAAGCGATTTTATTGGATAAAGATTGGTTTCTAATGACGCTTTTTTACAGTCTGCTATAAGGGTTGTGATTGGTCAAAATCAGATACGTGACCTAAGGCAGTCAATCATATTACGGCAATGGATACCGTCCTCGTAAACGAAAACTTTTAGATTTAGACGAAAGTTTTAGGTAAAATAATGCTTTTTTGAACATATAAAATCGCTGCCTATACGTAAATTATGGAACCTATTGGACGTATCCTGCTAGGTTATGACCTGTGACAAAAATGCTTCATGCATATATTTTCGCATTAAACATCATGTCCGAGCGTGAAGATTGAAGCGGCGAGAGCCGAGATGTCACTTGTCAGTGACTTGACTTACATTACATGATCGCACAAAAAGATGGAAATAGTAATTTTCTATGTACTTTTGACATCTTTTATGAATACTGTTGTTGATTTTATTCATTTGTTTATTCAATTTATTTAATGATTTCCTCTAAAACATTGTTACTTTGCTCTTTGACAATGTTATTGTAGACCCGCTGCTGAAGCATGTGTCCGAGAATTGTTTTTTTCAATAACATTGCAAAAAATAGTTTATAATTCTAATCCTGTCGATAATATATGGTCATTTGAAATTTAATAAGTGTTTTCAGACATTGTGAAAAGTGATAGATTTGATAAAAGAATCATATGTTAGTTAGGTTCCTAAAATTATAGATAATTTTGATGCCATTACTGCCTGGCCGGTTTACGGTGTCTGGGGACTTGTGACATCTTGGCCGGTTTTCCGGCCTACGGTGTTGAATGGGTTAAAGAAGCATGTTAAAACTCATCCGTATCAGATGATGAATATATATTCAGGAGATATGATTTGACTAGAAAAAAATTTAAGGGGGGATACGGGCGGAAGTCTTTCCACTCCATGTATATTGTTTTGGTGAAATTACATTATTTCTAATGAAGTGAAAAGTTATTTTCATCCTGAGAGTGACTCTTGTTAAACAATGTATACTTTTATTGCAAAGTCAAAATGTGATACACCTAACACCTAACCATGCTTGTAAATATTGTTTATGTTTAAAAAATGTGTTTTCTCTGAAATATATAAGTAATATATAATTGATTTGACAGTTATTTTATCTTCTGACGAAATGACCCTTTTCATTTTGACATGTTAAGTTTCAAGATGTTTCATGTTTTGTTTATTGTGAATATTGTATTTTTCTGGAGTCATACATGTTGCTTACTTACGAATCCAGTTTCACATTGTGTTAAACTACGTACATCTAAAATACACAATGTGAAGTGAATTTCCAACAGAATTTTGTACATGTTATAATTATTCAAATTAATTTGATTTTTTTCCAGATTGATCTTGATACAATTGATGTTAGCAATCTGAATCGTCAGTTTCTCTTTCGCAAGGAGCATGTTGGCAAGTCCAAATCACAGGTAGCTATGTCTTTTAACTAAATGTGTATGACTGTGGCCCAGTCGTCTTGAGATGCCGCAAATCGCTGTGCAGAGATGTGTTCCTTGTGCACACTGGAATTGTGTGAAATGTTGCAGCAATTGTGTTTCTAGGTTTTTCAGCATCACTGAAGCTCTGTCACTTCAGGCTTTATTGTTTGTTTATTATTCAACGCTGCACTCAGCAATATTCCAGCTATATTTATGCAGTCTGTAAAAAAGTCAAGTCTTGACCTGACAAGTGACAATCCATCTGATTAAAGGTATATCACAATAAGACATTCTTGACTGGTTAAGTCTGTCATTGCTTTGAGTATTATAAGTTTTCATGATCATGCAGATTGATCATATGTAATATATTTTTAAACTTATCCTATCTCACGGTATGTGCTTCTCTCTCTTGATTCGACACTGAGTGGAACGATGTAAACTTTTTTCCTTAGGCCTCTCTTGTCCATCTGCCCAAGCACTCCATGCTACCCTCATTATAAGACAGCTTCCCAGCTCTCATGCAAAGCATGCAGCATGCACCACTAGCTGCCCACGTGACTATCTCCGAATCATCATTCTCTTTCTTGTCGCACACGAGTGTGGACGTATTTTGCTTTGCTCAACGTTTTCAAATTAGTCTACAACATGGGGAAAGTTGACCAGCCAAAGAAGAGGAAAAAATGCTCCCGGTGTAATAAAGCGTTCTCCGCGAGTGATCCACATGGATAGATTGTATTGACTGTATGGGACAGTGTAAATGGGACTCTCATTGCGATATATGCAAGGTTCTTACAATACTTGGTGACTACACTCTGGCTTGCGCTCATCATGTTGCTGACAGGGCTCGTTATGCTGCTTCACTTGACGGACCCAGTCCCTCCTAGAAAGGAAAGTTTAAGTGTCCTACTTTGTCTGCTCGGCGGTCACAGTCCCCTCACTCGAATGAAGAGGATTTCATGAGAGAGTCGTCAGATTCTTACTTATCGGAAGACATTCGGCATTTGTTGGGCTCTCAACATTCCAGCCCGAGTCACTTCATCTTCAACCACGTCCCGGGTAGTGGTTGTCGAGACTGCCACCCCCCCCTCAGGAGACCTCTACACAGCGGGACCTTCGAACTACGCGCTGTCTCTCGTTCACCGGACCAGTTATCTCGGCAACCTGGCTTATCTGTTTCAGACAAGAATCAGCTGATCTTTATGCCTGACTGCGCAGAGCGCATGCGCAGAAGCCACTCTTGCTCTCGTCGCTCATCCAGCAGTGAGAGGAACCAGTCTACCTCGCCTCAACGCCTGTCAGTGGATATTTCGCCGTCTCCTTCCCATTCGGCGGAAAGAAGTGTGTTTTGCGTCCAGCTACCTCGATCTTCTGCTTCGCCAAAGCCTGCCAGATCGAATCACAGTTCACCGGATCACGCTTCGCCTGTCCGCTCCCCTCCACCTCGACTTTCGCCGGACTGTCCACCTTCCCGAGAATTAGACCGGCTCTCTACAAAACAGCTTTCGCCGAACCGGTCTTCATCGAAAGGCCAGTCTACACTTCGGCATTCTTTGGACTGATCATCTTCTACACAGACTTCACCTAATCGAACTTCGTCGAATCAACGTTCGCCGAAATGGAAGACTTCACTGAAACGGCATGTGATGAAACGACTTTCGTGGATACAGCTTTCTTCCAAGCAGTATTCAATGGAACGCCCTTCACCGGATCATCTGTGTACTTCCCCCGAACTCTGTTGGATCCTACAGTCATGTCCCCTCAGCACGGACACGGCTTTCACCGAGTCGTTTGGACCAGGCTCCTATTATTCTTCGGATTTGTTCACCGGATAGACCTGGTAGATCTACTTCACTGCTGAGACGCCACTCTTCGACTCGTTTGCGTTCAACTAAGCCACGCCTCCATCTACTTTGTTGAGATCGGTTCTTCAATCGAAGTCACCTCCTCGGACTTCGTCTTCTCGTCAGCATGGGACTTCCTCTTCTACGCTCTCGACCCATCAACCTAGATCTCCTACACGATCGACTGCTGCCTATCGTTCAAGATCCAGGGATCATCATTCTCGTTACATTTGATACTTCCCCTCCTTGTTCCCGATCTCATCGGGTCTCCATGTGTGCGTCTTCTTCCGGTTCGTCCCCCTCCAGACATCAATATGGTTCTACAGATAGATCTACTCAACGGCCGCTTCAAAAGCTGAGGTTTCCCGAGCCACATTGACTTTCTGAAAGCGTGGTGCGATCCTGTGAGCCTCCACTTTGCAGGGTTGCCGCGGCCAATCCTCATGAGACTCCTGCATTAAGCCTCGACGATGGCCTTCTGTAGCAACTGCTCCTTGACCGCTCTCATGGAAGGTTGCTTCTGGCGTTCAGATATAGTCTTCTCTTAACTGCGAGACTACACTAGTTCTGTCCTGGGACTACATTAGTTCGGCAGCTTACATCAGCCCACCAACACAGTTGAGGGACAGTTCCGCTTGCGCGTTACTGCTTCTTTCTAAATACGGAACAAAGTTGAACAGGATCTCAATCATTGTTCTCAAGTTATGGGTTAAAGAACTACTTCACTTGGATTCCATACCAAGGCATCAGAAGACGGCGATGCAGAGGTGTTCGACATTCACGCTTACTGTCCTCTACTCCACGGAGCAATTACGTCAGTGAAGTGTGACACTCCCAAATTCCAGTAGATTTCATTGCGTTTCGACTCCGAAGTTGCCGGGCACATCCTTTGACTAAGCTTATGCAAAGGAGTGAGGGTCAATTTGATGCTGTCCCGGAACTGAACGTTAAAACTTGGAGTTCCCGAGTTGTGCTTCTCTTTTATCCACCCCTGGTCGGTGTCTGTGGGGGTCTTCTCGAAGCAGGGGCTGGCCCGATTATTGTCAACCGACTTTAATTTACGGGGGTACGCTGAAAATTGTGGCGAAGTGACATCCTTTCTCGCTGAGCTGCGTCCTTCTTCAGAGGTTGCGGCCAAACACCACATCGCTTGGGAGCACCCATCTCCCTGGGAGACGTTGTGCTTAGTAAGCCAAGGAATTCAAGAGAACTCAGCACAAGCATAGGAGTTGCGTGCATGCATAACAGGCCTCCCTTGTGCAACGCTATCTACGGTCGTTTCCAGTCTACACAGTTCCTGCTGTTCGCACTGTCAAGACAAAGGGTATCTGCGTCCCGTCATCCGACCGTGGGATAAGTGCATACCGTGAGATAGGATAACTTTAAAAATTTGAAAATTTAAATATATATTGTATATTTATATACTTATCCTATCTCACGTGATGGATTCCCGCCCATCCTCCCGCTATGCAGATTCTCCAAGAGGGATATTATCCAGTGGCTCCAATTATGAGAATGATGATTCGGAAATAGTCACATGGGGAGCTAGTGGTGCATTCCGCATGCTTTGCATGAGAGCTAGGAAGCTGTCTTATAATGAGGGTAGCATGGAGTGCTTGGGCGGATGGACAAGAGAGGCCTAGGGAAAAAAGTTTACATCGTTCCACTCAGTGTCGAATCAAGAGAGAAGTGCATACCATGAGATAGGATAAGTATATAAATATACAATTTATATTAAAATTTTCAATTTCCATCTTGATCATATGTTAATTTCTTCTGGAATTAAAAGTTCATTCTTTTAGTCTGTTTGTATATAACACAATGCACTGATATATTGCTCTGCAAGAATTCTTTTATGTTTTTGTTGGTGTTTTTCAGGTGGCAAAAGAAAGTGCACTGAAGTTCAACCCAGATGCTGATATTGTAGCATACCATGACAGTGTTATGAGGTTTGTCAAAAGATGGATTATATATATACTGAACATCATTGAAAACGCACCAGTCTAAAATTGTCTATATTTTCATCAAGATGGATTTCAGCATGACAATAATCAATGAATATAACTAACATAAAGACGTGAGGCATGTCCAGTTGAAAAAATGCTTTAGAAACAAATTCCTGTCCACAGTATGACTCTTAATTCCAAAATGCATCAACATGCAGCCCCGCCATGAAAAAAGCGCGAATTTCTGAAATCATACTGACTGTGACATTAAAAGCAGGTGTATGAGAACCAATTCTCATTGCTTCACTAACGAATGTGAATCGAGGACAGAGATGCCGAGGTTAACACCTCACGAAAAAGAACGTGCACTAAGCATGATTCAGGTTGGCACCAGCAACAGGGATATTACTCGACAACTTGGACTTGGCCACTCCACCATCGTTAGGCTTCATAGACGACATCAGAAGACAAGCAGCACCCGTGACCTTCAATGACCTTGGCAACAACATGTTACGACGCTCCATCAGGATCGCCATATTGACCTTGTCCATATCAGTGATTGAACACTGTCGACTGCCAGGACTGCTGCACTAGTTCAAGGTTGACATGGGGGTCATCAGTGTTGACTCCATGCGACGCTGTCTACACCCTACAGAGCTCCATGCTCGACGTCCTTACATTGGACCAATTCTGACTGACAGACACCATAATGAGCGTATACAATGGGCTAGCAGGCATTTTCAGTAAAGGTTACAACAATGGCATGGTGTGGTAGTCACTGACGGGTCACGTCTTCATCTACGTAATGCTGACGGACGATTACGTGTTTGGCGTAGACGTGGTGAACGTTCTGCTGATGAGTGTGTGGTTCAGACAGACGTTTGGGTGGTGGGAGTGTCATGGTCTGGGGTGGAATAAATTACAATCACAGGACTGCCTTCATGTCTGTCAAGGGAGAGTTAATGCCCTTTATTACCGTGAGCAGATTCTTCAAAATCACATCGTATCTGTATAATCACCACCAAGATGTCCATACTTTTTCAACAGGACAACGCACGGGCACACACAACAAGACTTTCCATGCAGTATCTGGCCCAGCAACACATCCAGGTTATTCAATGGCCAGCACAGTCGCCACATGTATCCCCCATGGAGCACTTGTGGTCACATGGTCAAAGTCTTTCGCAGCGACAACATCCGGGAACTTGAGGCTGCACTACTGCAGAAGTGGAATGCCATCCTCAAGAACTCTATTCGGGCGCTTATTGACTCAATGAGGAGACGTTGAACTGCATGTGTCAATGCAAATGGCGGTCACACGCGATATTAACTTTTCGATTTGACCCCACATGTGTTTGATCCTTTCTGACTGTGGAACATTTTAGTGAATGAGCGTCTTTTCTGTGTTGTTGTTTTGTCAGTCGTCCCTCTGTTATTATCCACTCACAAAAAAAAATCAATTCCTTACATGTGCTTTTAATAATCTGAACTTTTATAAGTGGTGCATTTTCAATGATGTTCAGTAAAATATTTCTTTCTGAATTTCCCTCTGTCTGGAGGGTCACTGACTTTATTTCAGACTTTCTTATATTCTTATTCTTATAGGATATTTATATAGCACACTTATCCAGGCAACTAGTGCATGCTCAAAGCGCTGGTATTTTTTCCCCTCGATCATTGAATGTCAATCTGAACGGCACATCGTATTATCAATCTCAACTCCCTGGGAGTATACAACTCTTGCAGCCACTAGACGCACCGAGTTATTGTGGCTTTCTAATCCTATCAAGGTACCCATTCACAGCTTGGTGGACTGGGACAACATAGTCGCAGTACTTGTCCAAGTTCACTGCACGATGCTGTACCCGCAACTAGGTGTTTGTACGTATTCATGTGGCCACCATCTGGTCATATACCAACGGATTCGTGGGTTCTTTTAAGTGCACAGGGTTGTGTACTGTACACTAGGGGTTGTGACAACACTGAAAGAGTCTGCACACAAAGTTGACTCCAAGGTTTTACACCCGGTCACAGGTGGGCACGAACCCGATACCTAAACCTCGCTGGATCACTAGCCTGGCGCCTTAGCCAGCTCGCCCACCGACTTCTACTAATACCTAGTACCAGACAGACAGTTAGATAAAATGAAGTTGATGTCATGTTGACTGTTATCTGCATGGAGTGGTTTTTAATAAGGAACTTCACTTCTACTTCTTCACTTCAGCTGATATTGATAAGGATGTTATTAGGTATCTTTATGAAGAGGCTTTCATGAAACGTCTGTTTCGTGTCATAAATTTCCTTCACTTTTGGGAATTCTGGCACACACTCATAACATGTGCTGGGACATATGTAGATGACAGTGTTTCAGGAATGTGGGATGAGTAAATATTGGATAGTTTTCTTGGGATTTCTGGGCAGAAAGCAGCATAATTGATAACTCTTGTCTTTTGTACACCAGCCCTGACTATGGCCTGGACTTCTTTAAGAAGTTTGACCTGGTGATGAATGCACTGGACAACAGAGGTGAGTAGGAACGGAGTGATAGTAATCTTTTGTTGAAATCCATCCTGCATGTCTTCCCTCCCCTAGCTCCCTCAGGGCGGTGGGGTAGTCTAGTGGTTAAGGTGTTGGGTCATCACACCAAAGATCCACGTTCGATGCCCCACATGGATATAATGTGTGAAGCCCATTTCTGGTGTCCCTCATCATGATATTGCTGCAATGTTGCTAAAAGCGGCGTAAAACTAAACTCACTCATACTAGCTCCCTCACAGTGTTACGGTCTGTGTTGTGTTTTTAACTGCATAAATATTACTGTCCAGTGGCAGGAATATTGCAGGTATTTGATGATTACAAAGCAGTTTAATTCTGATAAGCTGCATGGCCATTTCCTATCAGTTATCAGAACATTATTTTGGAAAGTTGAGAACTGTAAGGATCAGTGAATTTACTTTTCAATATCAGTTTTGCAATGCTTGCTTTACTGGTGATGCCCTTGAACTGTTGAGTGGTGGGGTAGCCTAGTGGTTAAAGCATTAGCTCATCACGCCGAAGACCCGGGTTCGATTCCCCACATAGGTACAGTGTGTTGAGTCCATTTTTGGTGTCCCCCACTGTGATATTGCTGAAATATTGCTAAAAGCGGAGTAAAACCATAGTCACTCATTCACTTACTCTTGAACTGTTACAGCTGCTCGGAACCATGTGAACCGAATGTGTCTGGCTGCAGACATCCCCCTGGTAGAGAGTGGGACAGCTGGATACTTGGGACAGGTTGCTGTTATTAAAAAGGTACACCCATTACAAAATAGGGGTTGTGGGGTAGGCAAGTGGTTAGTGTCACCCAGATTTGATTCCCCTTATTGGTGCAATGTATGAAGCTGATTCTTGATGTAAACTTGAGAAGCTGTGAATCAGCTATGTCTCATTATTATGAAGACCGTTCCTATCTTACAGAGAAACAGATATTTCAAATAAAAAAAACCCAACTAAATTCTGAAACTCTGTTTTATAGTATTGGAGTTAATTTACTCATCCATAACACGAAACGATCATTATTGAGGTATTGTATAGACTCACTCACTCAGTCTTCCAACAACTGCATCTGGTTTTAATATCAAGACTAATCAAAGATGCAAAATTCTATTCTGTCAATGCTGCTACATTTTTTCTTGGGTGGTCTATGCAGATTAATGTTCTAGGAGAGCCTGTGCCAGAAGAGTTTGTGATTTCACTTTTCCAACTGTCTTAACTCTTTCAACACCAGTCAACCAGAGGCATTTACTGCCATGACACCGAGTTCCCAGAGACTCTGAGGTCATAGATGAAGCCTATGTTTATGAAGGAAATTATAAGCTTGTAAAACGTTATTGCTACTACATCCCATACACCATTTAAAAGATCTAATCCTACTGTTGATAAATATGAAGTTTATTTTTATAATATTATTCAAATAATACAACTACAACTTAAATAAATTTATATTTGAATGAAAATGCAAGCTTACATTTATAACGTCCAGATAAACCACGAAAGGAGCAAAAACTATGGCGATTTTTTCCATTTGTGACATTTCATAACGTACCCGTGCCTTTTTCTTTTATATTTTCATTTTCACGTAATCAGAAAATTATTATAAAAGATTTCTTAAACAATATGTATGGTCGCCTATTTCCCGATATCTGTGGCTTTCCGCTTCGGTAAAATGACATAACAACTGAAAATACCTCCGTTTTGAAGCTTATTATGAATAACATCTTGCGGCAAATCGTTTGATGTCGGGCATCGTTAAAAAGCTCTGAACATCAACAATATCACTGTACCCTTGCCAAGAGTATTTTCACAGTTGTAAGAAGCGATTTTATTGGATAAAGATTGGTTTCTAATGGCGGCTTTTTAAGCCACAGTCTGCTATAAGGGTTGTGATTGGTCAAAATCAGACCGTGACCTAAGGCAGCCAATCATATTACGGCAATGGATACCTTCCTAAATGGCGAAAACTTTTAGATTTGGACAAAAGTTTTGGGTAAAATAATGCTATTCTGAACATATTAAGCAAGAAATGCGCTACCTATCGTAAATTATGGAACTTATTGGACGTGTCGTGCTAGGTTATGACCTGTGACAAAAATGCTTCATGTATGTATTTTCGCATTAAACATCGTGTCAGTATTGAAGATTGGTGAGAGCGAGATGTCACTTGTCAGTGACTTGACTTGCATTACATGATCGCACAAAAGATGGAAATAGTAATTTTATATGTAGTTTGACAACTTTTATGAATGCTGTTGTTGATTTTATTCATTAGTTTATTCAATTTATTTAATAATTTCCTCGAAACATCGTTACTTTGCTCTTTGACAATGTTATTGTGGACCAGCTGCGAAGCATGTGTCGAGAATCGTTGTTTTCAATAACATTCGCGAAAAATAGTTTATAATTTTAATTCTGCTGATAATATATGATAAATTGAAATTTAATAAGTGTTTTCAGACATTGTGAAATGTGATAGATTTGATATATGAATCAAAAGTCAGGTAGGTTCCTAAAATTATGTCTCATTTTGGCGTGACTACTGCCTGGCGATTAATGCGGCCTCCGGTGTCTGGGGACTCATAGCGTTGTGGCCGATTATTAGGCCTGCGGTGTTGAATGGGTTAAGTTTTTCCTTATCCTGACTCATGCTCTTTTTGCTTGTCTTCTTCTTCTTGCGAACATAGTGGAACACTTGTATCTCCCTAATTGAAGCTCCTTCAATTTAAAATCACTAATTAGTATTCACCACGAGTTACCTCCTTTCCACAAGCGGGGGAGCGAGAGCCACTCTACCCATGTGCCTCACTCTCTCCTTCTTAGCCCAGTGAGCTGGGCGTGAGGCGCCTGTGTCTCCGACACACTATATCCTTTGAATTATATTTAGTTAGTTACCTCGTTATAGACATCTATAGAGGTTTAGCTAGTATCCTTCAACGATTATATATTGATATTTAGTGGTTTTTCTACAGTTTAGTCACGGGGCCGTGTTTGTTTCAGTGGATTACGTTGATGAAAATTCTGTACTATTGCAGATTCGTTTTTATGCTGCTGCTGATCCGCCTTTAATATGATATGCGGTAGCCATGTTTATTATATTCACATTGCAGTTCGCGGTACTAATTTATCAATTCTACCTTTTTATTAATATTTACTTTGCGTTTGCGCGCAGCAGATAGATGGCGTATGCAGAGTCTAGTATGACTGATACACGGAACCCTAAGCCAGTCTACTGCTGTTGGCCGACTCCCCTCCCGTGTGGTGTTCGCTAGAGTGGTGGAGAGGTGTGGGGCGTAGTCCGCCATCTCAAAAGCATCCTGCTTCCCCAGACATCCCATCGTCGCAGCAGAAGACTAGAGGGTTTTCTACTACATCTCAACAACCCGAGACCGTTCCCATCGAAGTTTTGGGCCTGTATGATGATCAGCCGGTCATTCATACGGATGTACATCAAAGATTGACCGATGTCGGCACAGATCAGCATGCAGCCTGATGTACCAAGCGCAGATATCGATGATGCGTCCTGAGGGTCCCATCATTACCAACACTCAGCGCCAGGCGTCGCACACCCAGGGCAGCGTCGACCTCTGAGGAAAATCAGCGAAGTCTACTAGGACTTTCTCAGCGAGATTGTTCCAGCCGATGACCTGGACCTCTCGATGATCAGCTGATCATCATCCCGGCGTCACGCCACAAGAAGCGACCGGTGACAGCTACAGCGACATCAGCAGAGATCACCATGCAGCCTGATGCCTCTACACTGATGTCGGACGATTTTCCGGTGGACCCCTCCATTAACACGCAGATAAAGCACCGGCGACCTGCGTCGCCAGACCATCCCAGAAGACATGATCGCGACAAATTATGAACATCATGGAGGACCAATATCTCGCGGTAGCAGGGTCGAACCTTAGAAGGCTCCAAGCGTGAACAACACCCAGAGGCACCCCGTCAGCGTAGCAGCCAGGGCGATGTCACCTTCGAAGGAAGTCACGGGACCACCTTGGCGAAGGACCTAGATGTACAGCCTTGGCGAAGGCCTTGCGAAGGGAAGGACCTAGATGTACAGCCTTAGCGAAGGCGGAAAAACCCTAGATGTACAGCCTTGGCGAAGGACTTAGCGAAGGCAGGATAGATCATCACCTTATCGCGGTTTCATCCCTAGATGTGGACTCGGACCATCAGACATCACGGAAGCCTTCGAAAGGTCATATCGTCGTTCCCCGGACGGACGCAGAGGAAGCCAGCGAAGGCATCTTGTGAAGACACACCTGAATCAGATCATCATCATCTAGAAGGACATCGAGGGACTATACAAGAGCTTAGCGAAACTATCAGCGTTCCCCTCACAAGTCTCGAGAAGATCAACCCATAGACAAGTTGATCATCGATATCAAGTATAAGAACTACAATCGTATATTGGTTCTGTTGAATCCATGGCCGAGGCGCGTATGTTAAGCTGGCCTAAATAGATCTAGAGCGATCAATTAGACACTTATCACCAGACTTAAGTAACCACGACTTCTGAATATGATAAGATGATCCATGCGGCCCTACTTAGGCAAGCGGCCCGATCCACATCCTGTTAAACACAGAGGCTGTTCCGCGAAGCAAGCTCATATATATATTTATATATATATATATATATATACTAATCGGGCTTTGACTCGACACCTTAGCGATGGTCGCGAAGGCTAAAAGTAACTCAAGTCTACTTCACCCAGAAGATCTAGAAGGGATACTTGAGAACTTAGCGAAGTCTCAGCGTTCACCGAGGAAGTCTCCTCCAAGGTTTCCATATACTAGCCACTTTCGTCATATATAGCTACTTTCGTCAGTCCGTTCAAGGCGTCGCATAAGTTGATTATCAACTGTATGCCAGATGCGATCTATAAGCCTCTCTGAAGATAATTGCTCAGGCTATTTACAACACAGAGCGTCGCTGTATTATTAGTCAGCGACATTTCATAGATCTTCACAGAAATCAACTATTCATTATAAATTGCTAATATACAATCCCGGACGGCGATCACGATTATCTACATGCGTGACCATTCGCATATCTGCAGACAATTCAATATCGAAATTGAACAGCAGCCTTGTTACAGCGAGTATAACTCTTAATCGTCAAAGTTTCTGAGAAGAAATATGTACAACAAGTTCAGCGTTAATTCTACAATTATGGCGATACATTCATGTATACAGTCTACAAGCTCACAACTTGCAAGTTGTTTATACCCTTATATATAAGGAAGTGAATTATATTCAAAACTGAAATTACTTTCCACGACAACCAGGAAAATAACCTACCCAGCATAAAATTACAGGCGAGATATTTGGCGGAGGAGGTTTCAGCGGTTACCATTAACCCTCGAAACCGTGGTCACTTTCGGATAACCGGGGAAGCTACGGTGAAGACCGGCGTTTATGCTAATATCAGCGGCGACAAAATTTATTCAAGGTGGGTTTTCCGCTACACGGTGACATCACAGCGGGTATTATACAGAATCAAAATGCCTTGTTCTGATTGGACCCTTGAGGGACAGCGACCTACACAGAGGTCGATCTCTATTCACAGTTCAAGACTTACGTCACAAGTGACAACTATATATCAGTGAGCGAGCAAGCCTCATTACAGTCCAGTTAACCTGAACATTCATGATTAGACTGCCTTTCTTCAAGTTAGAGACCTCCCTGTCAAGTTAAGGCGAGGGATCGGCAGTCAGAAGCGATTTTACATAAAGTTCAGCGAGGACAGACACACCTGGTTGTGCACCTACATCGTCAAAGGACTTAGCGGCGAATTACCTAGGCGAAGATACAAGTGGATCTAAATCCACAGCGTTTCAGACTACAGCTGAATTTCATCAAGCGACTAACACAACTAGATGGTTAGTAAACCTACTAAACTTCTGTTTGGAGAATAAAGCGGAAATTTCCGCCCAACCTGGGGATATGAATATAGTGCTCCAACACCTCACAAGTGAGGTTTATGAACACGCCTGGATGACATACTTGGACCCCATGATACGATGATTCTATCAAGATGGCCAGCAAGAGCACTGTAAATTTATCTCCACCAAACCAAACAGGAGGAAAAAAATGCAACAGATTATTTCCTCTATCATCAACTTACGCAGAGTGAAGTCTCATGTACTATATCTCCATTTGGATCAGAACTGTCATACTACGTGCATATCTTGGATGGACCTATTCCGACCCTCCATGAGCTTAATACTCATGATATTATAAGCTAACTTCTACAATTGTTCTACACAAATGTGATTGAAATAATGGAGGGTTTATTTCTGGAAATCCGATATGGTGGTTGCAAACCATTATCTGAGAGATATCACCACGAGGGCGTCTCAGGTATACACCAATTCGATCCCATGGTCCTCGCACAACAGCTGACAGTTCCTCGGAGAAGATAAGTCAATCTAACAGATTTTTACTTATCTTATAACAATACTAAATAGCTTCATGCTATATATAATTTACTTAAGTTCCTTTTATCATCACAGTACTATGATTATTACATCATACAATATATAAGTTAACAACTCTACAGAGTTTGTTATTATATATATTTACCTTAAGTTATTCATATCTTAAAGAGTAATACTATGGTTACATGATAAATGCATTAGCTAACAAACTCTACAGAGTTTTTGGCTATTTTATACATAGCTTAAGTTAATTAAGCTAACAAACTCTCTGAGGAGTTTTACTATTATATAGGTAACTTAAGCTAATTATACCTTAAGCATGGTACTATACTCATATTATTAAAATATATTGGCTAACAAACTCTAAGGAGTTTTGCTATTATATAGGTAGCTATTTGGCTTAAAGTATCATCATATTTCTAAGCAATATGGTTATATTATAACATGTATTAGCTAACAAACTCTACAGAGTTTTAGCTATTATATATGTAACTAAGCTTAATATCTTAAACTTATTCATATCTTAATATTAGCTATCAAAACTATGTTTATATCATATAGGTATATATTTTAAGCTATCAATAACTCTAACAAACTCTCACGGGTTTTGCTATTATATATGTAGCTTAAGTTTTCCTTCATAAGCTCAATACTAGGTTTATATCATAGCTAACAAACTCTAAAGGGTTGTTTTCACTATTATACAATTAGCTTAAGTTTTCACATTAAGCAGTATGTTTACATGTATTAGCTAACAAACTCTCTACGGAGTTCTTATTATATATATATATATACCATGTTTGATTCAAACGCCTAAACACAACAGCCTAGTCCATGTGGAAGACAGACTTCCCATGCAGCTTGGGCGGCAACGTTTCCATTAAAAGAAGCTACAGACAGTATTGAAGCCTCACACCTTCTTCACGCGCAGTGCAAGCCGCTAAGCCCGCAACAGAAGCAGGACAGCATGGTTACATGAGGGTCAATACAAAGAAGTGATGCTCTCTGTCTTCAGGTGTCTCCCCTCTGTCATTCAGCCACTGAGTGGACATTGTTCCGGCCACTGGTAGAGTAAAGGACAGACCTAAGAAAAGCTCTGGAATACCCAGAAAAGCTTCAACGGGCAGATGACTGGATATGTTATGGTCCAAGCCCCTTCGGTAATCGATTCAGAACTGCCTGTGCCCAGTTGCCACTAGATGCACGGGAAGTCTGTCTTCCACATGCACTAGGCTGTTATGTTCGGGTGTTTGAATCAAACATGGTGCTGAGGTTTCAGCACCCTTGTTTTCGCTGTTTTTCACAATGTTCCATTTCACTCAAACTCAACTCTAATATTGAATCAGTTGCTTCACTGCATGTTCCAACATGTATGCTCAAAGTGCCCATATCAGTACAAAAGTTGTTTAACCTTAGAATATAAAATGACCTTACCACGTTTACAGTTTATACATGACTCTAAATTTTTAGGGTGTTCCCATATTTTTTCAGTTTAGTATAGCTTGTTTCATCATAACTTAAGCTCAGTACTATGTTTTTAACATAAAAGTATATTAGTTAATAAACTCTAAGGAGTTTATTTTGCTATATCTTATTTAGCTTAAGTCTAATCTTATCTTAAGCTTAGTACTATGGTTACACTATAAACATATTAGCTAATAAACTCTACAGAGTTTTTGGCTATTATATATGTAGCTTAAGTTAATAATATCTTAAGCACAATACTATACTCATATTGTAAAATATATTAGCTAACAAACTCTCTAATGGAGTTTTGCTATTATATATGTAGCTTAAGTTCATTATATCTTAAGCACACTACTATACTCATATTGTAAAAATATATTAGCTAACAAAACCCTACAGAGTTTTGCTATATATATGTAGCTTAAGTTAATTATATCTTAAGCTCAGTACTATACTAATATTATAAATATATATTAGCTAACAAACTCTACAGAGTTTGGCTATTATATATGTAGCTTAAGTTAATTATAGCTTAAGCACAGTACTATACTCATATTATAAAAATATATTAGCTAACAAACTCTACAGAGTTTGGCTATTATATATGTAGCTTAAGTTAATTATAGCTTAAGCACAGTACTATACTCATATTATAAAAATATATTAGCTAACAAACTCTACAGAGTTTTTGCTATTATATATGTAGCTAAAGCTTATTCATATCTTAAGCTCAGCATTATATCTATATCATATAAAGTATATTAACTAACAAACTCTAAAGAGTTTGCTATTATATAATTAGCTTAAGTTTAATCATATCTTAAGCTTAGTACTATGTTATATCTTAAAGTATTTTAGCTAACAAACTCTAAGGAGTTTATACTAGCATATTAACAAGCTTAAGTCTATTAGTCTTAAGCATTGTATTAATGTTATATATACTTTATCATAATAAGTACATGGTAATAACCTTTTATATGGCAGCTGATAAGTTAGCAGCAGGAATTCATCAGTTCAGTGCCTTTATGAGAGTTCCCATAGGGTTATTACAATCATCACAGTTCAAATCACTAATTATTAAAATCCAAAGTATTAGATATTCCCACCTCCGTTCCATTAGGATGCTACAAGCAAAAGAGCATGAGTCAGGATAAGGAAAAATATGTAATTTTTGGAGTAAAATTGATATTTTATACTTATCCTGACTCATGAGGTCAGCCCTCCCATCCTCCCCAAATAACACTTTGGATTTCCCTGTAAATTCAAATGTTGGGCTCAGTATATGAGGAGAGAGTGAGGCACATGGGTAGAGAGGTGTGAAGCCCTCGTTCAGCTTGTGGAAAGGAGGTAACTCGTGGTGAATACTAATTAGTGATTTTAAATTGAAGGGAGCTTCAATTAGGGAGATACAAGTGTTCCACTATGTTCGCAAGAAGAAGAAGACAAGCAAAAAGAGCATGAGTCAGGATAAGTATAAAATATCAATTTTACTCCAAAAATTACATTTTTATCTATTATACGCCCCCACCACGTGGAGTTAACTCCCTGCTACGCATGCGCAGCCAACCAGGTAAGCACCTAGGCCCGTATCATCATTCCTTCTGCTGTCACTCAAGTAACACGTGTTCCGAGTTAATAAGCTGATTTACTTCTCTTGAGAAAGAATATCTGAGACTTCAACAACTGTATGTATGGTCTTTATTCGTTCTTGAAAGAGAAAAAGAACAGTTTTATTGACTTTGCAGTCTGTTATTCCTATTTATGTGACTTTGTATTAAATTTTTACGCTACCTTTCCCGTGGTTTATGCACATGTTGCTATTCCATGGCGGGAAGTTTAGCATGCCACGTGGTTGAAATGCTTGTGCTGTTTAGAGAAAGCGGGGCATAACCCTGAAATCTGCAAACTGTCTGGCCTTTTCCCCCCGGGCCGGCTATTTCCTTTTTTATAAGGCATTGCGAGAGGCGGGAGGGGAACTCACCCAGGAGGTCCCCCTGTCCAAAGCCAAAAAGGCTAAACAAGCTAAACCTAAGTCTTCGCATAAGTCGCATTCCCAATCTCAATCTCAATCCCAATCCAGTGGTTTTGATATGTCAATATTCACTCAGTTGTTTCAGCAGCACATGGACTCCGTGAAGTCCCTTGTTCATGAGTCCGTTGGAGGTCTCAGCCAGGAGTTCCTCGCCCATTCTGAACAGGGGACCGAGAGTCCGGGGGTGGGATTGCCGAGCCCGGCACAATCCCTTAGCCTGGAGGCGACTGTTGATCCTTTACCTTTGGCTTCGGGTCCAGACGCCTCGGCTACCCCGGAGGGGGAGGGTTCGCACCCAGTCCCCCTCTTGGTGCTGGTGCAGGGTCCGTTGTGGACTTCTGGGGTTCCGGTCCCTGCGCCACCCCGCCCCATGAGAGCGACGGAGTCGGTTCTGCCCGGTCTTCCTCCCGTGTCTCGGGACCGGGGTTTGAGTGTTGTGTCGGCTGCCGGAGTGGGGAGTTCATTCGGCTCTTCCCTTCTTGGGCGTCTGTGGCTCGGCCTCCCACCGGGTCGGGGTTCGGCTCCACTTCACGAGGAGACCCGAATTCTGACTCTGGCTCAGGTGCCGAGTCTATGGATGTCGAGGAGTCGGAGGGTACTTTCCTGGTTCTCGTCGGCTCTCCGGGAGGTTAGGCAATGTATTGCTGAGTATATACCCCTAGCCGCAGTGCCGACATGTCGCGCGGACTAAACTGAGTTCCGCCTGCCGGGCGAGGCGTTTGCCCCTAGGCAATCTCACAGACACAGCTCCCTATCTTGCCTTCCCTGGTGCAGGACGTGATGAATCCCCTCCTGGTTGGAGGAGGGGACTCGTTAAGAGGTACCAGCTGGGGGATAATTCTCTGTTCTTTGTGTCAGAGTTGACGAGTGCGTGTTCACTTCGGTCGCCCTCGAGGGAGGCTCGGCTTCCTCAGGTGCAGCCCCGGCTGCTAAGCAAGGGCGGTTAGTTCCACCGTTCACCCTAGCGGGCGCCCCTGCAGCAAACATACCAGACTTACAAGTAAGTCTACTGGAATGCCATGCAGCAGGTGCGGTAGGTGGTCTACGAGGCCTACCTTTCCTCTATCCAAAGGAGGGGCGGTGGGGTAGCCTAGTGGTTAAAGCGTTGGCTCGTCACGCCGTAGACCCGGGTTCGAATCCCCACATGGGTACAATGTGTGAAGCCCATTTCTGGTGTCCCCCGCTGTGATGTTGCTGGAATATTGCTAAAAGCGGCGTAAAACCAAACTCAGTCAGTCAGTCTATCCAAAGGTCGGCTCTGGAGGCGGAACGGATCACTGGGGACGTTTCCCCGAATGTTGTTCTGCTTCGCCAATTATCCGAAGTGCAGGCCCACCTGACGCAAGACTCTTTGCAGTCTGCTGCGTCTATGGTGATGTGCGCAGTCATGGGGATGCGCAAGCTGTGGCTGTCTACATCCTGTTATTCGGCAGCGACACAGCAGACCTTGCTGGCCCTTCCGTTTCGGCTGGGAGCGACGCTTGTTTCCGGGGGGACAGCAGGTCATTCGGGAGGCTGCTGCAGCAGCTACCTCCTTCAGGCACTCTAAGGCCTTGTATGAGCAACTGCAGGTTTCTCGGTCCTGTAGTGGGTTCCTCCTCCGGGGCGCAGCCTACCCCCGAGTCTGCTGGCTGGCTTCGGCAGCTGGGCAGGGGTAGGAGGAGGAGCCATCCCGCCAAAGGTAAGGGCAAGGAGCAGTCCTCTTTGTCTGGCTCCCAGCAGCTTTTTCGCAGTCACGGGGTCTGGTCCCCCAGTCTCTTACCACTCCGCCCTCTTACCACACGTCCCAGTGGGGGGCCACCTCTCTATTCCTGCCGGAGTGGGAGAAGGCTAACAGCAACACTTGGGTGCTATCCACCGTCAGTGTCGGCCATCTACCACTGTGGAAGTGAGGCCTGCCAGAGTTCACCGGCATACCTCGCACTTCGGTGACGTCATGTCCGGTCAAGGCGGGTATACTGCGAGACGAAGTTCAGGCTTTGCTGGACAAGTCCGCAATAGAGCGCATACCACCGGGCGAGGAACAGGCGGGGTTTTATTCCACGCACTTCCTCGTTCCGAAGAAGGACAGCGGGTTCCATCCCATTCTCAACCTCAAGGGGTTGAATCGCATGCTAGAGGTTCCATCCTTCAAGATGGAGACACTTCGCTCGGTGATCTCCTCTGTTCAGCCCGGTGATTGGCTTACGTCGATCGACCTAAAGGATGCGTATGTACATGTGCCAATTCATCCATCGTTCAAGCAGTACCTCTGGTTCTCTTACGACGGGATGTATTACCACTTCACGGTGCTCCCTTTAGGCATATCCACTGCCTCCAGGGTGTTCACCAAGCTCATGTTAGTGCCGGCTACCCTCGCAAGGTCGCAAGGAAGGCGTTGTTACCTAGACGACTGGTTGCTCAGCGCTCTAACTCAGCCAGCGAGCCTAGATTCTACCCACATGGTGATAGACATTCTAGTTCGACTGGGGTGGATCATCAGCCTCAAGAAATCCGACCTGGTACCCACCCAGGACTTGGTTTTTCTCGGGGCGAGGTTCACAACTCACAAGGGTCTTGTCTCTTTGTCGCCTGACCGGGTCACCAGAGTACGGGAGATGGTGTCTTCGTTCCTCTCCCAGCCCCAGGCACCAGCGCAGACTTGGCTCCGTCTACTGGGGCATATGGCGGCAACTATCTCTGTCGTGTGGCGGGCGCGGTTGAGGATGCACGAGTCTGTAGGCTCACTCGCGAGGATCTGGAGCCGTGTCCCACAGTCCCCAGGTGGTTGTCTCCTCACCTTCAGTGGTGGCCAAATGTCGGGAATCTCTCCAAGGGGATTCCTTTGGAAATCCCGACGCCAGTTCTTACAGTTCAAACCAATGTGTCCCTCACAGGCTGGGGGGGGTGTTTTATGCAGTCTGTCAGTGTCCGGACTCTGGTCCAAAGCCGAAGCCCACCTTCACATCAACGTCTTAGAACTGAGAGCTGTACGGTTGGTTTTCGAACGCTTCCGGGAGCATGTTCGGGGCCAGGTGGTTCATCTTCAGTTGGACAACCGTACGGCCATGACATCCTGAAGCAAGGCGGCTCTCACGGTGTCCCTGTCAGGTACTTCCTGTTTATCTCCCGGGGCTGGAGAACGTGCGAGCAGACGCTCTCTCTCGCCGGATCCTGGCCCTGCACGAGTGGATGCTCGACCGGCAGATATTCGGAGTTATCTCCCAGTTGTACGGATCATTCCAGGTGGATCTGTTTGCGTCCAGCGGGACGAATCAGATACCCGTGTTCTGCTCTCGAATACTGGACCAGAGGGCGTTGGCTTCCGACGCCTTCTTGCTGGATTGGACGGCAAGGTGCTGTGGGCGTTCCCGCCTCTACCACTCATTCCCCGGGTCCTCTCCCAGCTGTCCACCCAGCCAGCTCAGCTACTTGTGCTACTGGCACCGCTATGGCCGTCACAGAGCTGGTTTCTGGTAATTCTCAGGTTTCTGGCTCAGCCTCCTGTTCTATTATCTTTGCGACCGGACATTCTCACTCAGAACGGCACGCCATACCCAAATCCAAGGATTCAGTGGGTGGCTTGGCCTCTGTCAGGCCTAGCCTCGAAGCACGCAGAATTCCTGCAGCAGTTGCAGACACAATTCTGTCTTCGAGGCGGGATTCGACAAACGTTCAATATGAGGATAGGTGGTCCCGCTATGAGCGCTGGTGTTCAGATAGGGGGATTGCAGATCCCTTTTCTGCGGATTTAGTCCGAGTATTGGAGTTTTTGCAAGCTTTAGGCTTTCCACTTTCCACACCCCTGTCGATGCTGCTATTCTGGGGCAGCGCATTTTAGCTAGCGTGGATCAAGTTGGACCTGCTGTCAAGCGAACCAGCCCACCTTGGGGTTTGTCAATCGTGCTAGATTGGCTGTCGGGTCCTACATTCTCACGTCTATCGGCTATTTCCATTCAGCTGTTAACATGGAAGGCCATATTTCTGGTGGCGGTAACATCTGGGCGAAGGGTCGGCGACTTACATGCTATGTCGGCAGACCCGGCGCTGACTGTGTTCCATCCAGATCGTGTCAGTATTTGCCTCCCGGATGCTTACCATCCGAAGATCGATCACGCTTTCCATGTGACAGCTCCTATCTAACTTCCTACTCTTACCCAGCCTTCCACATCGGGACCTCTGCAACGAGCACTCACCCGTTGGATGTACGTAAGACCCTCAAGGTCTATATCAAACGAACACAAGGGATCCGTACGGGTACCCATCTGTACTGCTGTTACGATGGCTGGAAGGCTGGGGTGCCGGCGAGCAAGCAGACCCTATCACGCTGGCTTGTATCGGTCATTTGTGCTGAGGGGTTGAAGGCTCACTCGGTCAGGGCAGTGGCCAGGTCAAAGGCTTTTGCATCGGCACTGCCCATTGAAGAGATATGCTCTGCCGCTATTTGGAGCAGGCCTAGCACTTTTATCAGGCACTATCAGCTTGATACACATTCACGTGATTCGTGTGTGTTTTGGCCGTTCTGTTCTCTCCAGTGGACAGTGTACTGCCAACCTGACCAAGTGAGTCTTGGTTATCTGGACAGTTGACGCTGCTTTCAATTGTGTATCATTGATATATCCGCTGTTATCATATTTAACTCCTTTCGATTCTCTCAGGAGATTATGGTCGGTTGTGAGTTAGGTTTCCCCCTTACGGTGCTCTTATATTAGTTATAATAGACCCACGATGTGGGCGGGGTTTTTTACTTTCGCACTGTGTACGTTCGAATTGCTTTGCTTAACCTATGAGGTCGGATCTTAGTACTTTCCTCCCTGTCGGTTACACTCCCATCATGCCTCTCGTGGAAGCTTCGGGACACGTGACAGGTGAGTGTTATGGCGTCTGTTACATTCTTCCTAATGATCGCTATTTATGTGTACTTTGACAGAATTCCCTCCTCCCTAGCCTCCAGTCTTTGGGAGTCTGAGTTAATGCATATATGTACCCCAAGGACGATCTCTATGAAAAAGAATTAGCTAAACCTGTAGAGGTTTCCAATTCTTTGAAGAGAATCGTCCTTGGGGTAGGGCCACCCACCTCCCCGCAATTCTGTTCACTGATATATTCAGCAGAAGGAATGATGATACGGGCCTAGGTGCTTACCTGGTTGGCTGCGCATGCGTAGCAGGGAGGTAACTTCACGTGGTGGGGGCCGTATAATAGATAAAAAAGATTTTATTTATTGTGCAATATTTTTATTAAAACATTGATACAACTGTCACATGACATTTTCAGCAGCAGAAAATGCATATATGTACCCCAAGGACGATTCTCTTCAAACACCACATGGGCACAATGTGTTAAGCCCATTTCTGGTGTCCCCCGCCGTGATATTGCTGGAATATTGCTAAAAGCGGCGTAAAACTAAACTCAGTCAGTCAGTCTCTTCAAACAATTGGAAACCTCTACAGGTTTAGCTAAATTTGACGAATATTCACGAACAAACATGCACTCAACAGTGTAAAGCTATGCGCATTATAAAATTTTAACCCCTTTTATAGTTTAATTACAATTCCAGTGTCTTTCTTGCTTGCATACATTTCATTGCATGACAGTATAAGTTAAAAAAAACATGAATTAGAAAAATACTGGGGAAAAAAACCTTTAACTTGGTGATTACATTAAAAATGTATATATCGATTATAATCGTTCACCACAAGTCCTATGATAATCGATTGTTTATTTGGTTTCCGATTCCCAACACTAGCAGTTCCATTTAAGAACTTGGTTTATCAGCACTATACCCGTACTTGTGGCATTTACTAACTGGGCAATCTTTCTATTAAGTGAACTCTGTTCAAAATGGTGTCAAACCCGTTTGGTCACTACAGTGGTAATAGCTATTTCTGAAAAAAATCCAAAAACATGTCTAAATACACATCAAGATTGACAGTTATCTTATTATACAGTACCTTGACAACACAATGCTACATGAGCCTCTCATGCTTAATATATCTTATGAACATGGAAATAATTAGTTTCAAGACATGTATCTTGCTTAGATCTCTAGCTGTTTAGAATTCCATTTACTTGTTTCCCGAATCGACTATTCAGGCATTTGTCTCTGAAAATTATCACTGGTTTGGCTGGCATAGGTGATTTCTCTTCATGTGTCTTGAGTGTCTTCAGAGTAAATGTCAGAAAAGTCCTCAGTACCTGATGCTTGCCAGTGTTAATTTTCAGGTTCAGTGATGTTACTGATGGCGTAAGTGATCGCTTCTGCTTTAGTCAAAGATTTGCCTGGTCCAGGTCACCCTGATGTAACTACCCGTGAAGGTCCAGGTTAGAATATGCCTTCAGTAACCCATGCTTGTCGTAGGAGGCGACGAATGGGATCGGGTGGTCAGGCTCACTGACTTGGTTGACACATGTCATCAGTTCCCAATTGCGTAGATTGATACTCCTGTTGTTGATCACTGGATTGTGTGGTCCAGACTGGATAATTTACAGACATATAGCTGGAATATTGCTGAGTGTGTCGTAAAACTAAACTCACTCACTCACTCACCCTTATGTAACTGGAATATTGCTGACTGTGCATGTGATAACACTCACTCACTTGCATTTGTATTCTTCCTTGAAAGTGTTATGAATACACTGTTAAGCAGTCTTTGAGTGAGCCTAAAGGACCAAGGGAGCCTTTTTTGATTTCAAACGTTCATAGTTTGAAATAGTCAGTGTATTCAGCACAAACATCTGTATTACATTCTCTAATTACTCATGACTGTTTCAGTCAGTTGTTTGGGGAAGAAGATCCAGACCAGGATGTGTCCCCAGATACAGCTGACCCAGAGCTTGCAGGTAGTGTTGATGACTTACCTCCCCTTGTTGGGGTATTTATACAGAAATCAGATAAAGAACAGTGATGTTTGGAAGTAGCATAAAGTAGTACATACTGTTTGGACAATGAAGGATTCATCTGTTAACAACTTACCTCCCCTTGTTGGGGTATTATAGAGAAATCAGAACAGCAGTGTTTGAAAGTAGCGTTAAGTTGTATATCCCCTTTGGACAATGAAGGATTCATCTGATCCTTGTCTTGTGTTATGAACATGCAGATATTGCACTGTGATGTGTCTGTGCAGGTGAGGCAGGTCAGGCTGCCCTGGAGGGGGAGAAGAAGGATATAGAGAGGAAGTCCACTAGAGCCTGGGCCATGCAGACTGGATACGACCCACAGAAAATTTTCAATAAGGTGGGTTAAGATTGATGGATAGGGTATATTATCCTGACTCATCCCGTATCCCTCCTTTCTCCCGAACTGTTGTGGACATATCATGTACTGCGTTCCCCAAGAACAGAAAGTAGCATAACTAGTTGTGCATTCATGTAATAGAAAGCACTAGCATGCAATTAGCTATTAAGCAGTTAAGCTCTAGTTCAGATAAGCTTTAAGTTGTAGAATATTTTCAATCATGTGTCAGGCATTAGATGTGTTTTGACCCCATAAACTGTATGACATGGAGTTACACTGCTCCCTTGAAAGACAATATTTGATTTACTTCATGTTGTGTCCTGCAGCTGTTCCGTGATGACATCAAATACCTGCTGTCCATGGAGGCTCTGTGGAAGAAGAGGAGGCCTCCCACACCCCTGGACTGGGATGACTTACCGGATGCTGCTGATGCAGGTGTGTTATATGTATCTGCTCAAGTATGTGTCAAGGTTTGAACATACTTTACATAGCCAATGTGGCTGTCCTTGAACAACTCTGTAGATGTATTTGAAAGCTTGTTTGAATCTGGACCTTTGTCTTTGGTATTACCAAGGCCTTCATGTTGATGGCAGTGATTTTAGGAACCACATTTTATGTTAAGCAATGGCAATTCAACATCATACCTGTTTAAGCACATCAAGCAGACACAACATAATAATTCTATGATAAAAAAACTCATAAATCCTCACCCATATAGTGCCAAGCCATTGATGTATCGCCACATTGATATCAGTGTTAGATAACACAATTTGTCAGTAAACATGGTATCGTGACTCATACCATGGTCATGGGAGAAATGGGTGGACCAGTCATCTGACTGAAATTTGATGTGCAAACCAGATCATTTCAGTGTTCCTCAGAGTTATGAGTCTGGGTTTAAATCCCAAATTCACCCTGATTATGCTGATTGGTCTATCATCACCATGTGGCTGTCTGAAGGAGTCTGTGTGAGATGAAGGAACATGACTGAGTCGTTACTTTGTGTTGTCCAGGTAATGGCAGTGCAGGAATGCGTGACCAGAAGGTGTGGTCGATGAAGGAGTGTGCTCAGATCTTTGGTAGATGTCTCGGAGAGCTCAAAGTGGAGTTTGCCAAGCAGGGTGACGGAGGAATGCTCATCTGGGACAAGGTATGACTTACTGTTGAATTGCTAGCTGGGTGTGATTGTTGCGTCAACTTTTGTCATACAGGCGTGAATACCCATGAAGATCCGGTTAGAATTGATTTTCAGTAGCCCGTGCTTGTTGAAGAGGCGACTAATGGGATTGAGTGGTCAGGATCGCTGACTTGGTTGATACATGTCATCATATCCCAAGTGCGTAGATTGATGCTCATGATGTTGATCACTGGATTGTCTGGTCCAGACTCGATTATTTACAAACCACTACCATATAGCAGGAATATTGCTGAGTGCAGCATTAAACAAACATATAACATAAGATACAGGCATGAACTTTCCTTGCTTCTGTTAAACAAAACCGTGTGGACAGTACTTGCCAACAAAGGCTACAGTCTGTATGACTTCTTTGAGAGGCCATTAGAAGTTGGAGCAGTAAGGAAGGATAACAATATATGGATGAACAACTTCTTTATTACCGTGAGAGCGACGTTTCGGTGTAGGTTCTAACACTTGTTAGAGAACTGTGTCATCAGTCCTTCCTTACAGTGAGTATGCTTTGAATTGTGTAGTTTATTCATATGTAACTTCCAGTTACCATGGTAACAATAACATTTGCCTTTTGTTTGTTTTAGGATGACGATACAGCTATGGACTTTGTAACATGCACTGCAGACATTCGTGCTCAAATCTTCGGCATTGGCCTCAAGTCTCGCTTTGACATTAAATGTGAGGACACTGAGAGTAGCTGTTTGTCAAGCTGTCATATATCTGGTGTTTCTAATAAGAGTACTTTAATTGTCTAATGGTTTGACAGTGTTAGACCCTGCTTTGATTCCAGGGCAGACATTTCTGGTGTCCCCCGCTGTGATATTGCTTGAATATTCCTAAAATCGGCATAAAACCATACTCACTCACTCACTCCACTCACTCCAAGGCAGAATATGCTTCCAGTGCCCCATGTTTGGTGTCTGTGGTTTAATGCCACATTCAGCTATATAGTGGCCATCTGTAAATAATGGCATCTGGACCAGATCTAGTGATCTATGCAGTTAGGTTCGATGACATGTGTCAACCAAGTCAGTGAGCCTGACCACCCAGTCCCACCACTGACCACCTGTTACGACAAGCATTGTTTGCTAAAGACCAATTCAAATGCGGATCTTAATGGGTCGCTTGCTGGCAGAGCTGTTTGGTGATCAAAATAGTGGCCTGTCTCATTGTGTGCAATCATAATTTGACAACATGAATCATACCTTGACATGCATTCTAACACTAGATTGCCTGTCCATGACCTTACAAGCCTGTTATAGCTTGAACATTGCTGGATGTCACTCAGAGCAGCATTCACTCACTCACCCATCTGGTATTGATGGTATTGAATGTGTCCAGGTAAACTATGTTGGGCTAGAAAAGAGTGTGTCAACTGTGTGGCTTCATTTATAAGTGGTTTGCTTGTCCCTAACTTCCGACTCTTCTTCATTTGGTTTGTGAGGCAGTCCTGATATACCTGACTTAGTGCTAAGTTGCTTTGTGGAATAGGATCTTTGTTACAACATCATCATGGCTGACTATTGTGTATCTATCCTCCTTTGATAAGATGCAGCCCAGCGAGGGAATTGTTCCCTAGCAACTAATGCTGGTTATCGCTCACAATATGCAGATTGATACTTCGAGCTTAGTAATTGATCCCTAATTAATTGTAATCTTAAACCCCATCACAAAACTTATTTGGGCAGTAACAGGACAGTCATAATATTGTGCCATGGAAACAGGCTTATTAATACCATGATCAAGATTATTTCCTGGTGCATCTTCGTCTTGTGGATTTTGGGATGTTTAAGAACAATCATTAATCGCAGGATCAACTATAAAACACGTCACTAACTTATAAAACACAATTGTATCTTAACAACCTATAATTTGAATTTTGACACTACCTGTGACAAACATAACAATAAGAAACATACTTTCTAAAGTTTAATTTGATATTTCATTTTCTATGAATATTAATTAGTTTCCCATGTCCATCGATAATCGCTGACACAAGCAAGATCAGTCAATTGACCGATTATTCGATAATTGCTCCAGCACTACTAGCAACCCATGTTGTAAGGAGCAAGTTGATGGATTAGGTTGCCAGGTTCAGTGACTTGGTTCATAGTGACTTGGTTAATATCAGTGACTACAGTGCCTGGTACAGATTTGAGTATTTATAGGCTGGTGCCATACAGCTGTGCCAGTGCTCAATGGGGCAATATACAAACACTGACAGACATGACTCTTCCTTGATCCACTCTGTTGTGTTTCAGCCATGGCAGGGAACATCATACCAGCTATAGCCACCACCAATGCCATCATTGCTGGTCTCATTGTCATGGAAGGACTCAAAATACTGGCAGGGGACATTGAAAAATGTAAAACCGTGAGTATATCATCTTGGACACAGAAGGACCATCTGACAACTTGTCTTGTCTATAATCACAATAACAGATCATAACTATTGCGAATAATGATAATCATTTTCACTTATGAACCATTAAAGTTTCACCACAGTGGTTCATGTAACACATCAAGCTGTCATCAAACTGTAATCCTGTTCAAAGCGGAAGTGATCTCATCTCACACAGACTTATCCACAACTGAAATGCCCCATGTTATTCCTGGCTGGAGTGTCTCCCAGCAACCCATGTTGGTCATAGGCAAGAGACAATCAAGTAGATGAGACTCGGTGATTTGGTTTGTTGCACATCATCATACCCTGACAGTATCGATCACTGGAATATGGTCCCAGTATTTATCATTGGATTGTCTGGTTGAGATACAATTTTGTACAGGCTGCCTTCATATAGCCAGAATATTGCTGTTTGTTACATTAAACAAGACACAAAGGATGTGTGATTTATGTTTTAGGTTTATCTCAACAGACAGCCCAATGCCAGGAAGAAGCTCCTGGTTCCATGTTCCTTAGACCCGCCCAACCCCAAGTGCTATGTATGTTCATCTAAACCAGAAGTGACCGTCCGCCTCAACACAGACAAAATAACTGTGAAATGTTTGGAGGAGAAGGTAGGTTGATACACGAGCAGCAGCAGGAAATAAGTGTCACTCATTAATCTCCATTGGATTGTACACACTACATTCTTATATCACCTGGCAAAGTGTGCAGGAGATTTGAATCGTAGTAGGTTTAACTCGCTGAAGTCACCTGGGTAAGACTTCCGCCCGTATCCCCTCTAAATTTTAACGATGATGAAAAATTTCTTTGAGAGGCATTTTGTAGAAGTTGGATATGTCTTTCAGTATATTCAGATACAATTAAAGAAGCATGTTAAAACTCATGCTTATCAGATGAGCAATATATATTCAGGTGATATGATTTGACTAAAATGAAATTTAAGGGGGGATACAGGCGTAAGTCTTTCCAAAAAATCATTTTACTTTAAAAAATCTAAGCTTGAAACTATATATTACTGCTGAAAGCACTTATAACAATATGATAGCTTTCGTTACTAATTAAGTTATATTCCATTGGTTACTGGAATTATTGCTGATCACATTATATGATATTGTATCTGTATTACAGAATTTGACTAAAATGCTTAACACCTTAACAAGATTATAAAGCAGATCCTAACCTTATGGTAAATATAAGGACAACAGAATTAGCAAACTACCCCAATTGGTGCAGTGTTGTGATGATCAGACAGAGTGACCAGAGGAGAGAAATGTTGATGTATAGAAGACTGAAGATCTGCTTACAAGTAATAGAAATACCAATCACTGGCCAAGCCATGTAGCTGGACCAGGTAGTGAAGACAAAGAGAACCCCATGCTAACTTACATAACTACTTCACCTAGGGATTAGTAGAGAGTGCTTGGGTTAGTTTAAAGAGCTGCTACTATATTTAACTGAATTATCTCCCCGAGCTTAACATACATAACTTAAAGTAAACAAATATGTACATTCTACTTTATTGAAATGATCCGGTATTTTGTAAGTTGCTGCCAGTAAATTTTTAACTGACTGCATCTTTCCATCTCCAGGTTCTCAAAGGTCAGCTAGGAATGGTGGCGCCTGACGTGGAGATAGATGATGGGAAAGGTAATGCTGTCACTGAAGACAGGATATTTGACAATATGTAGATGAAGATGTATCACCTAGTGAAGCTGCCATGTGTTTTATATTGGAGAAGCCTAGTTTCAGTAGATGGTGGTGTAGCCTAGTGGTTAAAGTGTTCACTCGTCAGGCCGAAGACCTGGGTTCGATTCCCCACATGGGTACAGTGTGTGAGCCCATTTCTGGTGTCCCCCGCCATGATATTGCTGGAATATTGCTAAAAGCGGCGTAAAACTAAACTCACTCACTCACCTAGTTTCAGTACATAATGATGCTATTTAATCAGAGAATGTTTTGCAGGAAACAAATGAGACATGAATGTATAGTGAAGAATTATTGTCCCAGATAACTATTATCTGTTCTTTGTCTTCCAACAAACCAGGTTCCATTGTGATCTCCAGTGAAGAGGGTGAAACAGAAGGTTGGTGTCTTCACAATAGTCTTGCCTACTATCATGATAGAAGTAGCTGGCATACAGCACCATAAGACCAATTCTAACCCGGATCTTTACAGGTTCAAACCACTTGTTCTGGTATGTGGAACCTTGGCACAGATCCCAGTAATGCTGTCATTAATTAAGTCCAAGGATTCAAGTTCTTAATATGAACTTGTCATTGTGTGTAGTGAAACCTTACATTGGTAGCATGTAAATTGCTTGCAAATCCAGTGTGATTGTTTGACAAGTATTATACATGCTTGTTTATTTGAGGTGATACTTCACTGAAATGACATGCTTGATTCTGTTTACAGAAAACAATGACAAAATGCTTGCCTACTTCAATATAATCAGCGGAACCAGGTTAAAATGTGAAGATTTTCTTCAGAACTACACCCTGATCGTCACAATCGACCATGTGTGAGTAATAACTGGCATGTGATAGTCCATAATATATTGGTAATGATGAATGTGGTCAGGTCAGGGCACCTTGTCCACAGCATAAACATGGATCCCTTTCCACAGAATTGTTCCACAAAGAAAAACTCCAGTGTTTAATGAAATATACACAAAGAACTGAAGCACCCTCTGTATTTTTGCAATGATAGGTTTTCAACACGTACATTAAACTTCTCGTGGTGACCATCATGGCAAACCATGAGATTTTCTGACCCGTATGATCGTTGACTCATAGAAAATGACAAAATGATTGCAATCCATGTTGATTTTATGATAATTGCTGTTTTAAAAAAACACTGATTTTCATACAAAACCATGTCTATACAAGTATGGCCCTGTGATGTTTAATGTTAAATTTTTTGGTGAATGTGAACATTCAAAATGTCATTTTGTGAGTCTTACTCGATTCAAGGTTTAACCTCCATGTGATTGTATGACAGCCAGCATTCTCCTCCTCATACCCCCTGTCAGCCTCTGAAGGGGCAGTCTACGCCATTCCTCGTGTAAAGCAGTTTCCAATTGGGCCAGGTTCTGTACAGGAGATCCCCTTGTTGCACACGACAGCCAAACATATCCCACATATGCTCCAAAGGGTTAAGAGTGGGGCTCATTCAATTGTGAGATATGTCAGGGGGTGCTTAACAAAGTTCTTTGTGTATAAATGTGGGTCTGAGGCACTGCAAAGTGTCTTAGAGTGTTGAATCTTTTAGTCTGGAACAAATTTTCATGCAGATTAAATCTAGATTCTGTCAACTGACATATGTTACCATGGTTACTCTAGTGACAAGTTGGACGAGGAGAAGGAGTTTGAGCTTGTCGGGGACGTAGAGGAAGTGAAGGCCTCAGCCACAGAAGAAGCCCAGACAGAGGCAAGCGGTGCCAGTGGTGACAACGCCAAGCAACAAGGTATCATAACTTTGTTGGACCCCTGAGCCTCTTATTGTTTGTGTTTGTTGTTTTCAGCTGCAGTCAGCAATATTTCAGCTCATTCATGGCAGACTGTAAATAAGTGGCCTACGTCAGATAAACCACTGACTAAAAGCCACCAGGGACACCTACATCACCTGACACCTGTTTCCAGTTTTGTCAGATCTTAAGCATTGAAATAATGAAATTGCATACCATAAATCACACTGGTGCATACAGAGAATCTCTCTAGTGACATCAGTACTTAGTGATATCCCATTTTTCTGTTGATCAGATGTTAGATAAATCCAACTTGTTAAGATCCATCCTCTGTCATACCCAGGTCTGTGGGTTTCCTTCTCCAAATAGCTAACACACAATGATAATTATAATACTGATCTCTGTGACAATAGATACAAATCCTTTTGTTGTCTTTTAAGAAATTTGAATGATAAGTGATTATTTTTTCCAGATTCTGTGGATGAACTGATGATTGTGGATGAAGCTGAAATCAACAACACACCAACTAAACAGAAACGAAAGCGAAAAGCTGACGATCTCGGGGAGGCAGAGTCAAATTTTGCTAAAAAAATCAAACCTGATTCAGCAGCAACAGCAGATGATGATGATGATCTTGTTATTTTGTGAAAGGCTTCATTGTATCACCCACAAGTTCAGTCGGGACATCTGTGCCTCAGTGACATTCATCCAGGTATCATGAACTGTTGACAAAGTGTATATCAGTGGCATTCTTGAATGTATCCTCGATGAAGAACTCAATCAAAACAGGGAGAGGACTATATCTTGCATTCAGGTTTTAGGTATGACACTGACATGTGGACAAGGTTTGTGTACAGGCTGTTTGGGATTGAGTAGGATGGAAGCAACGACCATGGTACATTGTGGGAATTCTGGAGCCATATAGGTCTCCCACATTCAAGGCAAGTGGGTATTAAATGACCTTGTTTAGACGAATTACAGGGAATGCTGTGAACCAGCTGAGTGGATCATCATGACCTGGTCAAGTGGGTTATCATGACCTAGCTGAGAGGCTATCTTGACCTGGCTGAAAAGGTCATCATGACCTGATTGAATAAGTCATTATAGTCCTGCTGAGTGCCTTATTGTAAGCTGGTCAGGTGAGAGGATCATCTGGAACTGATGGTGATGTTCACACTATTGACCCTGGTTTGCATCCAGGTCTCATTCCATGAAGTAATACTGGTTCTGGGACTCGGCGAGGCCAAGGTACCAGCTCTGTTGTTTGGTTTTGACGGATTAGTTTGAATCTCATTTTGTTTCAGCTCATCTTTGTTGTGTACGTTTGTTCATGTTTCAGCCTTTGTTCTCTTGCAAAATCAAGGAAGATTCTACACATTTGTTGTATGTTGCAGAGCTGTTTTACCTTTATGTTTACAAAGCAATATCGCTGTCATGCCTGCAGGGACCCATGAAATTCTACTAGCCAGGTGTGTGGGGTACCAGTGGCTCACACGTTCAAGATGATACAATGTTCACGAGCCAGAACTGCATTCTTAAGACATGTTAGAATCCTGTAATGAAGCAGGTTGTCCATGAACATGGGTAAGTCAGACACTCCTTGTCCAGATTATACATTTTGTCATCACCATTACATGTTACATTTGGTCTGCTCATATAAAGTCATATCACTGAAGCATTTGCATTGTGCATTGGAAGAATTATTTTATGATTGGAGAAATGTTGAGGATGGCAATTTTATCTGCTGGTGCATGTTACACGTTTTGTGGTGAGTTAAGAACAAACCCAAATTACATTGTCAATATAGTTTCATCACCAAAGACAATTCTGTGTGCTCTTAATAATAATGTATTAAAATGGGGTTCCATCAGTATGTACATCATACAAGTATGTGTGTATGATTTATCAAGTCTTTTTCCTGAACAGGTAGCATGGCATACAATTTTCCTCAGTTCTATTACTTTGCTAGAACTAACAACCTGTAAATCCTGGAATCGTCGTCTCAGATGCCTTCAAAGGATGTTGTAATTTCCTCATTTCCATCACGTCATTGTCACTTTTGTACAAAAATTGACAATAAAAACGCTGAATAAACGTATGTCAATTCAGAAAATTCATTCATGAGTTTGTTTCTCACGTTTTGAGGGTACAGTTGCATCCCTTGGATTTTGCTGGCTGCTGAGGGTTCACATCAAACCTGTCAGCACCTTCCTGTACAGTTTGGGAATAATCAATGGTTGAGAGTCAACCTGATCAATGGTGAGAGGTGGGGAATGTAGAATTATGATTACTCCACAGTGCATATTAATAATAACTATATATTTTTAATCTGTAAAAAACAAAGTGCTGTTTTTATATTTTATTTGCATCATTTAGTTTGTGACATATTACAAAATTAAACTTGTATAGTGATACTGTACAAGAACAAAGGCCATCTTATTTTCAGTGGAGCATGAAAACTTGGAGAAGAAAGCTGAAAATGATTGACACTACAATCAGAGTAATCAGCCCGCAATCAATCACTTTTTCTATCCATGCATTTGGTGCCATTTTAGGCCTGATCAAAAATACTAAGCAGCAAAAGAAACGTCAGTTTGGAATTTTCGTTCGCAGAAACGGATAACTGTAAACTCATTTGATGTTTTGATGGTATATTTTTTACAACATCTCCAACTTTACCTGAGCAAAGACATTCCTTCCCAAACTCAGAAAGGAACCCCGGAAATGGTCTCAAAATGCAACCTGATCTTGGAGATGGTACGGTGTTCTCCATGCAACTCATGCTGCACGTGTTGTTCACAAGGAACAGCCCTATAAAATGCACCCCCAAACCTGTTTGAAACATTCACATTACAACATCCGCAGGATGCCGCGACTCACGACAGCTGAGAGGAACCAGGCCCTAGGAAGACTTGAAGCTGGCCACACTGCACAAGCCGTTGCAAATCACTTCCAGGTCAACATTCGGACCATCTACAGGCTGCAGCAACGTTTCCGGGCCACCAAAACCACAAATGATCGCCCCCGTCCTGGCAGAACAAGGGTGACCACAAGACAAGACCGCCATGTTGTGCGACAGCATGTACAGAATCGCTTCATGCAGGCATCCGAAACAGCAAGCCAGACAGTGGGAACACACGGAAGACCAATCAGTATGCCGACAGCGGGAACCTCCATTGCCGTAGACATTACCATGGACCTATCCTCACCCCTCGTCATTGGCGTGAACGTCTACAGTTTGCCCTACAACACCAAAACTGGCAATACAGGCAATGGAGAACTGTTCTGTTCACAGATGAGAGTCCGTACTGCGTATCAACTGCAGATGGCAGAACCAGAATATGGCAACGACGTGGCCAGCGTTACACAGACCAATGTGTTATGGAAAGAGACTCATGGGGAGGTGCAAGCATCATGGTATGGGGTGGAATAGGCCTGAACCAGAGAGTGGGTCCTGTGGTGTTCCAGAACCTTGGTCCAGGGAGAGGAGGCAGCATCACAGCGGTGCACTACATGGACCAAGCTCTCAAGACCCCACGTCATACCACATTTCGCACGTCACCGGAACATCCATTTTCCAGCATGATAACGCCTGGGCCCATACTGCCAGAGCTACTCGGGACTTCCTACAGCAGAACTGTGTCAACATTACGCAGGGGCCAGCCCTTTGTCCTGATTTAAACCCAACTGAACATCTTTGGGATGAAATTCACAGGAGACTGAATAATATCATACCAAGGCCGAACACAGCAGATTTATTGCGCCAGGCCTTTCTCAGAGTGTGGTTCCAGGTACCAATGGCCTTCATCAATCGATTGGTGCACTCCATGAATAGACGCTGTGCTGCAGTTATTGCCGCTCGTGGTGGTCACACTAGATACTGCAAACGTTCACGTAATGTCTTGAAATTGTGCTGAGTTATTCATTGATGTGTCAAGATATTGTACATAAAAATGTTTTTGATCCGCTTATAATGTCCATTTCTGTAATGATTTGATTACAGTGCCTATCTAATTTTGAATTCATACTGATGTTTTTTTTGCTGCTGAGTATACAAGCCCTCAACAATTTGTTCATCTTAATTCTGCCCCTCTCATTTCCCCATCCAGATTGACTCTCAGGTTCTGGCTGTAGTCATGGGAACGGTCATCCTCAAAACATCCAAAATATATGGACACTGTGTGTATATTTGAAGAAACCATGAAAGACATTTGGCAAATATTTTTGTTAAAGTTTTTGGCTGTTTCAAATGTTCCAACACTAGAGCTGCAGTGTTTGGTTATGGTTGAGGAAAGAAACTCACAAAGAAAACTTCTGTTGATTTCGGATGCTTGAGCAAAGCATACCATTAAGTAAATATGCCTTAAACAGGTAAACATGTCATAACAGTACATGATCAAAACAAGCTGACATTTGAATAGAACATGGATATACATGGAGACATTTGTGTAGCATATCTGTTCCATGGCAATGTATATACAGTCAAACCCCAACATCTCGATTGTGTCGAACTCATCTCTGCCGATTTCCTTACATTTATCATTATTTTTACCCTGATGTCTCGAACCAGATGTGTTGAATTCACGGTTGTTTCAAACTCATTTTAGGGTCCCCAAAAGCCCTAATAAGTACAAATTTATCTTTTGTCTCAAACTGTCAAAGTTAGTTCTTGCAACTGAAAACTTCATTCGTGCAATCAAAAGTCATGCTCATAAACGTGCTACCAAAAGATGAAAGGTGAGGATGAACGGATTCAACAATAAAAGTGGCATGTTTAACTACACATCCATCATCACACTAACCAAGTGACTTTGGTCTTGTTGGTACTTGGTCATTTCTATGCTGACCGATACGTCAAACAGTTGGATAAGTCGAACTTTTCCATTGGTCCCAACACGTTCCACACAATGGGGTTTGACTGTATTTTAAGTTTTGCAGCTCTTAAACAGCTGGGCTGTTTTCCAACAGGAACCAGTCTGGGATTATTTGTAGCAGTTTTGCTGCTTTCGTAACACAGACCCCTTTTCTACTGTAGAAGTGTTGCATGTTTCAGAAATGATTCAACTTGTATCTTAGTTTTAGTTTCTGAAAATCCTTTTACATGTAATAGCTTGCTAAGTAGACAGGAGGAGTCATTATCTTTCTATATTCCAACAAGATAACTGACTTAACACAGTGTACCATGGGAATCAAACCCTGAACTCAGGCATGATAAGCAAACATTGTAACCACTAGGCTACCCCACAACCGTTCTCCGTAGGAACACAGAAGAGCAATGTAAAATACGAATTGGCAAGTTGGTACATTTATTCCCAGATCAGCCTCCCTGACCTCTCCAAGAAATACTCCCCTTTTAATAGAGATATTTCTTTTCATGACACACAAATCCTGTTATCAGTTTGAAAAGTTGAATTGTATAAGTGAAAATGCAGCTAACTAATAAAATAATTTTAAATACAAACTGGCCAATACTTCAAACAAACACAGGAAATATATATGTGTACTGCTAAACTGAAAATGCAACAATTCTTTAAGGAACCCTGTTCAAAAACACATCACAGATCACTCCAATCTTGCTGCAAAGTCACTGCAAATGTGCTACATGAAAAATGAAAGTAATGCCACATGACTCGTTTCTTAACAGGATTTCATATGTTTAGCATCTCCAAGATGTAACACCAATGTGGATAACTATATTCATAATACTGTCTTCATCTAAGAAATAACAACATTGTCTTCATCTAAGGATTCATAACCACAGATTGTTTCAGATCTTGCTCAACAGGTGGTAAATATTGCAGCCATAATCATTCTACAAACTGAATTTCTCAATATTTGCAGAATCAACTTTAGGAAGTCTTGTCAGAATATTTGTCCCTCACAGACCATCACATATTTCAGAATGCTCAAAGCCAAATACTACCAACTTCATCACTGACTGTAAGGTTTATAAATCCGTCAACATTTGTGTACACCAAGAATCCAAAGAGTTGACAAATGTAAGCAGGAGTGAGTTAGTTTTGTTTTACGCTGCTATTAGCAATATTCCAGCAATATCATGGCAGGAGACACCAGAAATGGGCTTCACACATTGTACCCATGTGGAGAATCGAACCCGGGGTCTGCGACGGGACACGTGAACAATTTAACCACTGGACTACCCCACCGCCCCAATGTAAGCAAGAAGGAAAACACCCCATTGTATAAGCTCTCCTGGTCTATGACCAGTTTAGCAGAAAAATATGAAATACAGTATATATATTTTAATGACTGGAATGTCTTCGAATAAATTTTGATTGAAAAAACTTGATTGATCCCTGAACAGTTGGTCGCCTTTTTCACTACTGAGCAGCATATATCTTAATAACTGAACTGAAATCATCTTGTCCAGATTCTATGAAAAAAGTCGTATTTGCCTGATGTATGATACTCAGAAACTACCAATATAAACCACATCAATGTGATATTATGGAAAATATCACTATAAATCTATATTACATGGGAAATAAGATGATAAATTTGTAGAAAATATATATCAAGTTTAAGGTTGACTCCACCATGTTAGTATATGGTATAAGAAATTCTATCTGCTTCCTAAATGTCTTAACACATGCCTAAATGCTATGTGCGGCAACAAGCATCTTCACATACTACAGTTTGTTGACATGAGATCATGATGATTTTCGTCAGACAATGTCATAGACCTGTCTCTGACATATTTTGAAGATAAGATTTACAGTTACACTGAATTTGTTGTCTAACTCATCACAATACATGTAGTGTATCTATACCCAAAGCATCTACAAGCCCAAAAAACCAACAAAGGTAATTTGATGGACATTTTAAGCTATAAAGGAATCAATGCATATTGCAAAAGATCATGATATATTTTCCAAATGAATGAAACTTCTTTGTCTATCATTGTGAGGTCGCAAAAAACAAATACCCTGGTACATGCAATGTAAACTTAGACTTTCAAGACAAAACTTTTGTCCAGCAAATATCTCGTTTTCATATTCATCATTACAAAGTCTTGGCGTTAACATGATACTCGGAGTTGTCTTTCCTTGTCTCAACATGGCTGCCATTTTTTCCAGCAAATCTGAATACTGAGAAATAATGGGGATGAAACAAAATTAATGGACAGTCATCTTTTGCATAAATTTAGGTGAACATGTTTTATTACTGTACACTGATGTTATTTTTATCCCGCAACACTGAAACTTATTTTGCTACAGTTATACAGAAGGCAAATGTTCCTGCACAATAAATGTTCAGATTGGATTTTTCTAAATGCCTCTCAAACATTAACCCATAATTAACCCAATGCTACAAAGGAAATATCTTGTGTATTGATAACAGTTAATACAAAACCTGAGTGGGTAATATGTACTATTCCTGTAGTGAGGATCATCAACCACGGCCTTGACAAGTTACACCTGCATCATGTATGTGGGGAATCAATATGTAAAGTAGACATAATCAATATGTAAAGTAGACATAATCAATAAGTAAACTCCTTTACCTTTACTACCTGATCTTGACCGACACAAAGCTAAACACAATACTGAACACATATCAAGATCTACTGTTTTCTGAAGGACTTTCACAGACTTCTAATCTGCCGGGTGAGTTTTAGTTTTATGTTGCATTCTGTTTGGACACATCCATCCATTATCAATATTTCCATGACAGTCAATTAGATCATATATGAAAACATTGTTTACAACAAAGATTCTGCCAATCAAAGTTAACGTCACAATATGACATGTGCCCATTTAACCTTGTTTGTGATCATAAAAAAGTTGCAACTTTAATCCTATGCATTTACAACATAGAGATACAGTGGCTTTAACTTGAATTTGAAAGTTACAACATTCAGGTATGTATTGAGATGGATGTTGAAATAACCTTAATATTGCTTGAAAATGTTTCTCAAGTCTTGGAGTTGGTTCAAATCTAGAGTAGAGTGTGGTAATTATTGCACAGAATTAATCCTCATCACAAAATACAATTGCAGACATTGATTGTTTTGTATGTATATAGAAACAGAACACACTATAAATTGTTATATCGTAGGAATGTACAACAAAGCAAAACCTAAGAAACTATTCATAATTGCTGATAATTTCTCAAACATGCTGAACTAAAAATACATTCTTACCATACAGCTACTGGCACCCTGTGGGGTCATCAAGTAATGCCCTTTTGAAATCAAATACCACTGCCATACAGTCAAATAAATCTGCATCCATGCACATTCCATAAACTCCCTAAAATTGCATCCATACTAATTCTGTTACCTCCCTAAAACTGCATCCATGAAAATTCTATACTCCTTAAAACCTGATCTGTGTTTATTCACAGATCTCTCTACGTATTCCTTCTATTTAACGGCACTCTTCAATCTTTTCCATGGTACATTGAAAAATCATCTAAATATCACTCTCTTCTCCTAGTTTCACATTTCTCATGCAAAGTTACTGAAAATCCCTTTCAAAATGATTTACATATATCATCATTAAGTCTTCTGGATTGACCACTATTCACTTTAACAAATTTTTCATTCTTCTGTGTCCATTTAATGAGCATCAGGCTAATATTTTCATTCATGAATTTTTATCTCTACATTAATTGTAAAAGCTTTGAAGTTATCACATTAGTGTCTACTTATATTAATATATTTCATTATTGATATTTATCTTTTCAAAAAACAATTTGAAAACACATAATTATCATTTTGTGAAAATATGTATCTTTGTGCTCAAGACTACAAGCACATTAAATGAGAATCTAATTTGAACATTGAATTTGTTTTGTATGAATATCTCATTCCCAAATACCTAGCACTACGAATGTTGATTCTTGTGGCCATTTTGCTGAAAGGAACCACAAATTTGAGTTTGTTGTAACTATATCTCATTAATTTTGACTAAAATACACTAGTGGTTGCAATCTACACATTGCTTCTGATCAACTTCACTCAGTAAAACATCGGAATTCATCACCCTGTCAAACAATCAAATCAAACATACAAACTATAATACTGACATCAGGGTCATGAGACAAGTCAGCAGTAATGAGCACACACATCTCTGTGATCCGTTCGGCTACAATGCAGTCATGACTATTTACAAAATGTTACAAATCTGAAATTGTCATGTTGATGCCTCAGCCAATAGTGATGGTCTGGTTTGTCAGAGTGCCGACGTTGATGATGTAGTAGTCATGAACGTAGGCGAGGATGGCCACAGGCTGACCGAGGATGAGCGACAACCACACAATGATATTCCCCGTCTTGCCGTCCATGTACTTGCCAGTCAACAGAGCCAGGGGTACCTGTGAGGGAAATGAGTAGGAGAGTGAGTGAGTGAGTTTAGTTTTACACCACTTTCAGCAATATCATGGCCAGGGACACCAAAAATGGGCTTCACACATTGTACCCATGTGGGGAATCGAACGTGGGACTTTGGGCTGACAAGTGAACGCTTTAACTACTAGGCTACCCCGCCGCTTCAAGTAGGTGAGTTAATGGTATATCCCAGAGTGCCAGCTTTAAGTGATGCAGGTGTCGGACATTTACCACATGAAAAGGCATGGTGCTGTATACAGTCGGTGATTCAAACCAAAGTTGTAATTGGGTATGCCCAAGGGACACAACTCTGCCCAGCAAATAGTGACTGGATGAGTGACTGAGTTGGGTTTTATGTAGCATCCAAAAGGAGGCACATCTTAGACATTAACCATACTGATGAAAGTAATGGGAATGGTGAATCAAAACAAAAATCCATGTGGGATCTGAACCCAAATCCTTGGATGCCTAAGATATTCAACTCTGCATAGGATATTCCTGCACCTTTGCCCAGTCAGAATTAATGAATACTAGGATTGTTTTTATGCAACAGGTTTTTGAGGTGTGATATCCACAATAAAGTATTAGATTTGTTGTTGACAAACATCAGTATTTTATGGTGCTGTTGTACAGAGCAATCGTAGCCCAAAGGTAACTGTAACTCCGATACTTTAATAGAGACTTACTACAATTGTAGCACTAAGGTAACTGTAACTCCGATACTTTAACAGAGACTTACTACAATCGTAGCCCAAAGGTAACTGTAACTCCGATACTTTAACAGAGACTTACTACAATTGTAGCACTAAGGTAACTGTAACTCCGATACTTTAACAGAGACTGACTACAATTGTAGCACTAAGGTAACTGTAACTCCGATACTTTAACAGAGACTTACTACAATTGTAGCACTAAGGTAACTGTAACTCCCATACTTTAACAGAGACTGACTACAATTGTAGCACTAAGGTAACTGTAACTCCGATACTTTAACAGAGACTTACTACAATTGTAGCACTAAGGTAACTGTAACTCCCATACTTTAACAGAGACTGACTACAATTGTAGCACTAAGGTAACTGTAACTCCGATACTTTAACAGAGACTGACTACAATTGTAGCACTAAGGTAACTGTAACTCCGATACTTTAACAGAGACTTACTACAATTGTAGCACTAAGGTAACTGTAACTCCGATACTTTAACAGAGACTTACTACAATTGTAGCACTAAGGTAACTGTAACTCCCATACTTTAACAGAGACTGACTACAATTGTAGCACTAAGGTAACTGTAACTCCGATACTTTAACAGAGACTGACTACAATTGTAGCACTAAGGTAACTGTAACTCCGATACTTTAACAGAGACTGACTACAATCATAGCAGTAAGGTAACTGTAACTCCGACACTTTAACAGAGACTGACTACAATTGTAGCACTAAGGTAACTGTAACTCCAATACTTTAACAGAGACTGACTACAATCATAGCACTAAGGTAACTGTAACTCCGATACTTGAACAGACTTACTACAATTGTAGCACTAAGGTAACTGTAACTCCCATACTTTAACAGAGACTGACTACAATTGTAGCACTAAGGTAACTGTAACTCCGATACTTTAACAGAGACTTACTACAATTGTAGCACTAAGGTAACTGTAACTCCGATACTTTAACAGAGACTGACTACAATTGTAGCACTAAGGTAACTGTAACTCCGATACTTTAACAGAGACTGACTACAATTGTAGCACTAAGGTAACTGTAACTCCCATACTTTAACAGAGACTGACTACAATTGTAGCACTAAGGTAACTGTAACTCCGATACTTTAACAGAGACTGACTACAATTGTAGCACTAAGGTAACTGTAACTCCGATACTTTAACAGAGACTGACTACAATTGTAGCACTAAGGTAACTGTAACTCCCATACTTTAACAGAGACTGACTACAATTGTAGCACTAAGGTAACTGTAACTCCGATACTTTAACAGAGACTTACTACAATTGTAGCACTAAGGTAACTGTAACTCCGATACTTTAACAGAGACTTACTACAATTGTAGCACTAAGGTAACTGTAACTCCGATACTTTAACAGAGACTGACTACAATTGTAGCACTAAGGTAACTGTAACTCCCATACTTTAATAAAGACTGACTACAATTGTAGCACTAAGGTAACTGTAACTCCCATACTTTAACAGAGACTTACTACAATTGTAGCACTAAGGTAACTGTAACTCCGATACTTTAACAGAGACTGACTACAATTGTAGCACTAAGGTAACTGTAACTCCGATACTTTAACAGAGACTGACTACAATTGTAGCACTAAGGTAACTGTAACTCCCATACTTTAACAGAGACTTACTACAATTGTAGCACTAAGGTAACTGTAACTCCGATACTTTAACAGAGACTTACTACAATTGTAGCACTAAGGTAACTGTAACTCCCATACTTTAACAAAGACTGACTACAATTGTAGCACTAAGGTAACTGTAACTCCGATACTTTAACAAAGACTGACTACAATTGTAGCACTAAGGTAACTGTAACTCCCATACTTTAACAAAGACTGACTACAATTGTAGCACTAAGGTAACTGTAACTCCCATACTTTAACAGAGACTGACTACAATTGTAGCACTAAGGTAACTGTAACTCCCATACTTTAACAGAGACTGACTACAATTGTAGCACTAAGGTAACTGTAACTCCGATACTTTAACAGAGACTTACAATTGTAGCACTAAGGTAACTGTAACTCCCATACTTTAACAGAGACTGACTACAATTGTAGCACTAAGGTAACTGTAACTCCGATACTTTAACAGAGACTGACTACAATTGTAGCACTAAGGTAACTGTAACTCCGATACTTTAACAGAGACTTACTACAATTGTAGCACTAAGGTAACTGTAACTCCGATACTTTAACAGAGACTTACTACAATTGTAGCACTAAGGTAACTGTAACTCCCATACTTTAACAGAGACTGACTACAATTGTAGCACTAAGGTAACTGTAACTCGATACTTTAACAGAGACTTACTACAATTGTAGCACTAAGGTAACTGTAACTCCGATACTTTAACAGAGACTGACTACAATCATAGCAGTAAGGTAACTGTAACTCCGACACTTTAACAGAGACTTACTACAATTGTAGCACTAAGGTAACTGTAACTCCAATACTTTAACAGAGACTGACTACAATCATAGCACTAAGGTAACTGTAACTCCGATACTTGAACAGACTTACTACAATTGTAGCACTAAGGTAACTGTAACTCCCATACTTTAACAAAGACTGACTACAATTGTAGCACTAAGGTAACTGTAACTCCGATACTTTAACAGAGACTTACTACAATTGTAGCACTAAGGTAACTGTAACTCCGATACTTTAACAAAGACTGACTACAATTGTAGCACTAAGGTAACTGTAACTCCGATACTTTAACAGAGACTGACTACAATTGTAGCACTAAGGTAACTGTAACTCCCATACTTTAACAGAGACTGACTACAATTGTAGCACTAAGGTAACTGTAACTCCGATACTTTAACAGAGACTTACTACAATTGTAGCACTAAGGTAACTGTAACTCCGATACTTTAACAGAGACTGACTACAATTGTAGCACTAAGGTAACTGTAACTCCCATACTTTAACAGAGACTGACTACAATTGTAGCACTAAGGTAACTGTAACTCCGATACTTTAACAGAGACTTACTACACAATTGTAGCACTAAGGTAACTGTAACTCCGATACTTTAACAGAGACTTACTACAATTGTAGCACTAAGGTAACTGTAACTCCGATACTTTAACAGAGACTGACTACAATTGTAGCACTAAGGTAACTGTAACTCCGATACTTTAATAAAGACTGACTACAATTGTAGCACTAAGGTAACTGTAACTCCCATACTTTAACAGAGACTTACTACAATTGTAGCACTAAGGTAACTGTAACTCCGATACTTTAACAGAGACTGACTACAATTGTAGCACTAAGGTAACTGTAACTCCCATACTTTAACAGAGACTTACTACAATTGTAGCACTAAGGTAACTGTAACTCCCATACTTTAACAGAGACTTACTACAATTGTAGCACTAAGGTAACTGTAACTCCGATACTTTAACAGAGACTTACTACAATTGTAGCACTAAGGTAACTGTAACTCCCATACTTTAACAAAGACTGACTACAATTGTAGCACTAAGGTAACTGTAACTCCCATACTTTAACAAAGACTGACTACAATTGTAGCACTAAGGTAACTGTAACTCCCATACTTTAACAAAGACTGACTACAATTGTAGCACTAAGGTAACTGTAACTCCCATACTTTAACAAAGACTGACTACAATTGTAGCACTAAGGTAACTGTAACTCCCATACTTTAACAAAGACTGACTACAATTGTAGCACTAAGGTAACTGTAACTCCGATACTTTAATAAAGACTGACTACAATTGTAGCACTAAGGTAACTGTAACTCCCATACTTTAACAAAGACTGACTACAATTGTAGCACTAAGGTAACTGTAACTCCCATACTTTAACAGAGACTTACTACAATTGTAGCACTAAGGTAACTGTAACTCCGATACTTTAACAGAGACTGACTACAATTGTAGCACTTAGGCTGCTTTACAACTTACAGCTTGTGATTGATTAATTAGTACAATGAAATGCAAATAGCTAAATCTCCTGGTATGACAACATAGGTTGGTACAAAGCACAATGTAAATATGACATCAACTTACCTGCCCGAACATGGCAGTGAAAGCCCATACCTTGAACATCCGCAGTGGTATGCTCAATAAATACTGGAAAGGAAATGTAACATTAATAATAATTGTTTCAGCATTGTCACATTGCAAAAATAACAGCTACAGCCCCAGACCAGATAAACCAGTGGTTGATAGTGTGAACGCCCATGGGCTATGATGTCACAGTCAGCTGGGTCACAGCTGAGTGTGGTTCTTCCCAGGTTGCCCTTGCTTCATTGAACTTGATGTAGTTTTGGGTATCTGCACAGCATGTTATTACACTGTACTTACAAGAGGAATACTGAAACACGGAAACTTGGACTTCTGTGTATCGTAAACTCATAGGAAAACATAAAAGTTTATCAGTATTGAATACTGGACATATCAGTATCGCCTTTACTCTAGCATTAGAGATGAAGTCTAAGATGGCAATCTCGCAATAACTGTCACACTAAGATTGTATTGTGCATGTGGGTCCTGGGCAAGCACTACTTTGTTTCTTACCTCATGGAAAAATGCAGACACAAAGAAGACAGCCAAGGAACTTGTGAATTTGGAGAAGCCTTGCCTTAACATGGGCTTGTACAGGTGTCTGCAACAAAGGAACGCCACAGTAAGGAAGGATGTAGGATTCATTCATTAACAGGACAATCCCATCAAACTAACAAATTGTGTGTGGATTGCTGAGTGAGTGAGTATTGTTTTGTGTTGCTTTTAGCAATAATCCAGCAATATCATGGCAGGGGTCACCAGACATGGGCTTCACACATTGTACCCATGTGGGGAATCGAACCCAGGCCTTGGCATGACGAGTGAAAGTTTCAACCACTAGGTTACTCTACCCTGTGGATTGTTTGACCTATCACAAGGTGAACTGGACAAGTGAAAGTAAACATTTATGCAAGAGAGGACAGGAGAGCAGAACAAGACAATGTGAGAAGAATGAGTAAATATTGCTTAAGGCTGTATTGGTAATCTTGCAGCTATTTACAGTAGAGCTGGGAATTGGTTAAAATCTAATTGATGATTGGTTCATTACAACCGATCAATCATTGAAAATAATTGGTTAGCATCATTTATGAAATGTTCCTGATTACTTTGTTAATGGACAAAAAAATAAATAAAGAAACATGTAGTTCTTTGGTTTTTTGCAAATTGCACAAAATGCATTTGCAAATTTCACATCTTTAAAGGATGACAAGTATGTTAGGAACATAAATTTCTTGGGTCTTTAAGATAAATTCAATCATGACTTGGAATGAGTTTGTAGTGCTCCTGAAATGTAACAGACAAAACCAACCTTGTGAAAAATATTGTTAATGCAAAAAGTGTTCCAGAATTGTTTGTGTTCGATTATGAGAAAACATGATCGATTACTTGGTCGTTTAGTCACTGTGACCAATCTTCGATTATTTCAATTAAGCGGACCACAACTAATTTACAGTACAGAACTGAGGGAGGAGGGAGAAGACATACAAAGCACAGGAAACAAGAGTGACAGAATGGGAGATTACAGGACCCATGTAGAGGAAACTCACCTGCTGGCCCATCTGTGGACAGGAATGTTCCAGTTCTTCCAGAAGTCAGACACAGTCTCTGCATTCCTGGAACAGTCCAGAAAGTGAACCAAGATGACCCTGTTACCAAGTAACCATGGTAACTGAGATAACAATCAACAGTAGTCAGCCTTGCATAGTACCTTCATAAAAGATATTTGGTATATACTTTCTTTTAACAAATGGTTAATATGGAAAATGTCAAAATGTGTCTCACTTTGCAGAGCTGCATCTCTTCAAATATGTTCATAGATGTGTTCCAACTTTGAGCCTTGGTCTATCAGCACAATAAATTTGGAATAGGGTTTAACAAAACATGATTTAAAAGAAAATCTGAAGGGATGTGAGCCCAGCTCGCCCAGCCTATAGACAGACAGTACTCACCACCAGTCGTGGTAGAAGACGCGGTCCCCAAAGCGGAGAATCTCCGCCAGTGCATTGAGGAAGGAGTGGAAAAACCAGTAGAAGAAGATGAGCCAGATGAAGTGGTTCGGCACCTGAAGTGATTATCAATAACTTCACACTACTGGCGACTCTAAACACATGTCTGACAATTGCATGTTCCTGTTGTCATCATACTCCTATAAAACACGGAATCAGTTGCGCATATTTGGTGTTCTATATCTGGTGTTCACTATGGGGGCTTGTTGAAACAATTGAGAACGGTTTGTTCACATGCTATTTCCTGTGTTGTCGTTGCCCGTCTGCTGCACATGGCTCCTCATACTGTGTATTTTCTGACAGCTACAGTCCAGGGCTCACACAAGGATCGTACAAGAATTAAGCCTACCCATTGCACTCTCATGTTGCTGAAACGTGGCATACTCACTTTTTGAACTTTGAATTTCAATGTGTTTTAGCGTTTAGTAATGTCTGTGACCTTGTACGCCAATGAATGAGCGATGTGAACATGCGACACTCTGCACATGGTAGTTGTGTTTCACACTTCTTTCAAGCTTTAAGACCAATTCTGTATGCCATATTAGTTATTGCCACATGTATGGCACAACAAGAAACTGAAAAGAATTACCCCCCTTACAACTATCACCCATAATGTGGGAGTCACGTTCCTAACTTGGATGAGTAAATTATCAAAACTTTTGTTTTACTTCTATTTTTTTCTGATCATTCTCAACTGAAAATGACTTATATTGCCCACTGTATATTTATATTTGATTTGCATATATCTTACTTAAACTAAATCAGTCTTAAACCTATTTTTCAGATTCATTACGTAAATGTTGACTTTTCTTTGCTTGCATAAACAGCAATAATCTACATAATGAGTACATAAGCAATATTTCTCGACAAGAAGATATCCTACTTACGGCTAGTTTAAGGAGGCGCTCCAGCACCTTGAAGAGATTCATCTGGTCAAGAGGCTGCATGGCATTGTTCAGTGTGGGGATCACCCACTGAAATGTCAACAAAACAAACTTCAACTTACAGAGAAGATAGTGTGGCTTTATTGTAGACTCTAAAAGACACACTGATAATTTTACATAATTTTAAAATATTTTTCGGGGGGGAGGTGACTGTACCAAAATTGATGGAAAAGTAAAACAGAATATTATGTTGTGCTTCAATGGACATGGCGAAATCTTCTATTTTTATGCTTTCTGCTTATTGAAACACAAAAAAAACACTGGTCAGGTCTTTGTGTGCCCTTGCGATATGATCCTCCTATGGTAGAATACCTCTATCTGTCATAATGACAGACAAATTATAAAGTCATCATTCCTAAAACAAAAGTCCATTTTTTGTAAACATCAGTGTTCTGCAGTTGTCTTCCTTGGAATTGTAAAACACATAGATGCTCTGTTTTGTTTTGTACCATATGTGTCTAGGTATGCAAAACGTGTGTCATTAACAAACTAGTTTCCATGGCAACATACCTCACCTGTTGTATAAGGCCCAGCATCAGTTGCCAAAGAAACAACTGAAACAAACAACGAACATTATCACAGTCCAGGCCAGGTAAAACAACACACAGTGTAACAGTCCAGGCCAGGTAAAACAACACACTTTGTAACAGTCCAGGCCAGGTAAAACAACACACTGTGTAACAGTACAGGCCAGGGGAAATATTGTGCAGCTTTTTCATATGCCAAATAAGGTAATGACTGAGAGCAGTCTTTCACAAATTCTGCTAACATTAACTTGATGAATATCAGATAATCGCCTGTCTACATATCTGGGAAACAATGACGGTTGAAATCTAGAAAACAATGACTGTTTAAAGCTGGGAGTGAGTGAACAAGAGAGTGAGTATGGTTTTACGCTGCTTTTAGCAATATTCCAGCAATATGATGGCGGGGACCACCAGAAATGGACTTTACACATTGTACTCATGTGGGGAATTGAACCCCGGTCTTTAGCGTGATGAACAGACACTTTAACCAATAGGCTACCTCACTGCCCCTTAGATATGGCAAACACATTTCACTGTAGCAATAAGAGAAGGAACATTTGACTTACTATTTCAATAATCCTCTTCATGAGGAACCTCTTGCGGATGCGGGCCGATCGCGGGAAGTTCAGCTCATAACACAGTGTGGGAGCGAACATGAAGTAGTACATATCTGAAAGTTGATATAATCCAAATATTGTAATGAGGAATAATATCATTATTACAGTTTCATTCTCATCTACTTAAATCACGTCTTACTGTCTGTAAGTACCTACCGCTCCCTTTCCTAAACTTGAGAACTGATGATGAAACACTGTAGAACAGTGGGGACCATTAATGATAACATGAACATTGAGTCATCAATATCGTTCATCAACTATTGCAATGAAATATAGGTTTAATTTACACACACAACACACAAACTTAAGTCTGTATTCAAGGCCAACTGCTGAATCATGTTCAGAATGCTGTTTTTGTGAGCAATCCATGCATAAATGTGTCATTAGTTACCAGTGATGTGAAACACTGATTTTTTTTGTCGACATTTTGGCAATTTTGCTCCAAGTTAAGTAATGATATGTATGGATACTTGACATTTAGTTTATGATTATTATCCCTATGACCTTTATCGATAGCCATCCCTACCAAACAGTCTGACAGGCTTCATCATGATTACCATTCTGTTACAGTTCCACTGCACAGATGCCTTGAACAGTTTGTTTAAAATTGAACTGAATTGTATTGGTGCATTCATGTTGCAAATTCTGTTTAGAGGATCACCAAATTCTTGCTTTCTATATTATTTCACCTTCCATAATGTAATGAGAATGCCCATGTTTATTGTAAGTTTTCTAATATAAACAATACTAGTTTTGAGGACTGACAACATCTGACGTGTCCAGTCCAAGCTTATTACTGGCATGCAGAAACACTGGCAACACTATTTGGTCAGTGACTGTGGTTGATCATCACCTACCCTTGAGATTTAGGTTATCTGGGTAGCACACTTGTTTCCCAATAAGTCGCTCATTGGCAGCTGCCACTTTGGCCTGCTTTGCAGCTGAAATGTGAAGAATATAATAATAAAAACAATTATCACAAAAACAAAAACAAATTAAACACCACTATCATAATAATACTTATTCCTTTTTAAATTCCCTATGGCATACGAACCAAAATCTGTTATCCACACATAAACAATAACAAATGTAACCATAGTAAACACTACTAAACAGTGTGCCCAGATGTGTTTGTTTACTTGTAGTGGGAAAATAATAGTTTTCATCCCAGTAAACATTCCATTTTTTATTCTTGCACACGCATACTCAGACAAGACAGACAGCAGACAGACAGTCAGACCAAAACCACCACTAATCCATGAATTTTTTGGGGGGGTCCTTCAGAAAGGAATATGTTTCTTGCAAGACAGTAGTGTAAAGAAAAGTTTCTAAATTCCGTTCAATTTCTGCCCTTGCACTTGATGTATCTGCAACAAACCTTCATCCTCGGACGTGAGGGTCTTGCTACGTGCTGTCTTCCGTGGCTGAGCCTTCAGCGACTCCCGACACCAGCGGTTCACGCAGTGGTAGGAGATCAACTTCAAAAACGCTATAGTCACACATCCCAATGTGTTAACTGAGAAAACTGTAACACAAACCGAAACTTAGGATGTATTCCTTGTTCAAGAGTGAGTGAGTGAGTGAGTGAGTGAGTGAGGAAGTGAATGCTGCTGTCAGCATCTTCCATTCTAGTCGACTCTTTTTATAAAAATTCAGAAACATAATTCTGCCTTTTTTTATTCTGTTTATTGCTTAACGCCATACTGATCAATATAACAACAGTCTGTAATTAGAAACCTGAACCAGACAGTCTAGTGATTGAGATCATGAGCATCAGTTCACGCAACTCAGATACAGTGAGTGAGTTTAGTTTTAGGCCGCTCTCAGCAATATTCCAGCTATATGGCGGCGGTCTGTAAATAATCGAGTTTGGACCAGACAATCCACTGATCAACAGCATGAGCATCGATCTACACAACTGGGATACGATGATATGTGTCAACCAAGTCAGCGAGCATGACCACCTGATCCCCTTAGTCGCCTCTTACGACAAGCATGGGTTACTGAAGATCAATTCTAACCGGAATCTTCATGAGTTCTCGGATACAACAAGGTGCAATGAACTGGGTCACTGTGTCTGACCTGCCATTCCATTTAGTTCTTCTAACAAAAATACACACACTGTTGTGACCTGTATACCCAGAATCATTCCACATAATCTCTTGACTGAACTGCAATGTCATTGTTCTTCTAATATCTTATCACTAGATTACCTTAAAATTAAAAAAACTTCAATCAGTTTCACCAAAGGTTCTAGTACAACAATCATTCCTAGGGATGAAACGGTATACTGTGGTATTAGTAGAACCGCGGTATTTTGCCTTCTTTCGGTATACCATAATGCAATCCCAAAATTCTGTATTTTCGCTTTTCGTACCGCCATTTCTATCTGGTCATAAACCGACAGTTCTCTTCATTCAAATTAACAAACATTTTGGTTATTTTTTTCCATGTTATTAAACAATGTAAGGTTTGACTCTTGTCAATTTTTGGCATTATCATCAAATCTCATATAACGAACCGAACCGAAGGCCTTGTACCGAAATACATACCATACCGTGGTAAGAGCGTACGGTTTTACCCCTCATCATTAAAAAACAACAAAAACAGATGGTGATGGTGAGTTTCGTTTTATGGCGCGCTTTTAGCAACATTCCACCAGAAATGGGCTCCACGCATTGTACCCATGTGGGGAATCAAATCTGGGTCTTCAGCGTGACGAGCGAATACTTTAACCACTAGGCTACCACATCCCCCCCCGAAAAACAGAGGACAACCAATAGAAAACCCATCTGACGTTGTCAACTATCAGACACCCTCACTGTGTACTCACCTGGACTTGTATGCAAAATGTACACAATTGTAGCTGGGTAAACCAGTAGAAGGATGTTGTTGAGACCTTTGAATACTGTACCAACGCTCTCGGACAAAATGTCCTGAAAAACAGATATGAAAATGTTATTTCAAACAACTTAAAAAAATCATGTTTATGTCATCATGTTCTGTCCCTCAACAGGAAGCATCACTCTGTGAAACACTCTTGGGGCACTCTTCATCAATTTGGCCACGTGAAACCAACAAACTCATACAGGAGGACCGCATAAACACGATAAGAAGCAAAGTTTCATACATAACTCACCCGAATATGTAGTCAACAGTTTAAAATGTTAAAAGATACATACACTTCAAAAAAGTAGCTGTTGGCAAATTCATATATTCTATCCAAAAATGCTGAGGCAAAACTGTACTAAAACTATGAAATCTGTAACGACATTTCCTCAGTGTTTCTGCTGCACTGCACAACACTTACATTTACTTTACACAAAGTCTTTAAGTTTGGCCTTAAAGGACAATATGGCATTTTCTATATGTTGTTAATAGACCAATCCATTCTGTCAATGAAAACTGGCACATGCGCCAATTTTGGCCAATCAGCAGGCCGGGCGCACTGTGTGGATTTGTCAGACTTATTTCCGGGGTCAAACGATGCCTCCGAAGCAATGTGCTTCGAATAATGCCATTTTCACTCGCTATATTTATTACATATTGCTGCGTTTTGATGTGTACCTTTAACAAAACAATTACGGTCAAGACAAAAAAAATTGAGGCGGATCAAGGAGCACGATAGGCCTAACAAGCAGTTAACTGTCTGCACCATTGTTCTCGAAACCTTCGTCTGCCTGCAGATAAGAATTTGCACGAATTTCCACACTTTTGCACATGTGCAAAATCATTACCAGTTGATGACAACAAATAGAAGTTTAAGACTTTGCAAGTGTTATAAACACGGACAATCCTTGTAACTACAAAACTGTTTTTGCTTAACGTTTTTAGTCACTACTGGGCATAGAGTTGGTACGCCATAAAGCTCAAATGAGACAGGCGAGAGAAAGCTGTGACACAATGTAAACAAATCTGACAGCGATCAGATTTTCGGATTTTGGTTAGGGTCGACCGAAATTGCATAACTTGTTACATGAGAGAACAATGTGGCGGATATTGTCCCCCTTCGCTCTTAGATATTCTTAAATTTGTCACACATTTTAGGATGTTTTATGTTTCAAAAGCACAATCTGAAGGCCTACAGTATCTTGTTAACAGAGTAAACTATTCGAGGAGTAATATTTTTGATCCAAACGGAAATATTGTCAGTGTCAGCAGTTGCCTATCATGCAATATCCCAGTATCAAACTTAATTCATATGAGTGCCTATAAAACCATGCTTTAAATATTTCAGAATTTTTATATAGAGATGCATGGGACTTTGAATTGAATTACCTTCCTCCATGTTGATCGAATACAAAAACTATATGAGAAGAATAGTGACTTTCCGGAGTATTGGACGTAGTGAAATAAAGTGTATATCTTAATTATGAGAACATTATTTGAAGTTTTGTTACAACATAAATTATTCATATATATTGGTACATTTTAGGAGTAATATTACAACTGTCATTTTGATGAATTCACTGGAAATGATAGCAAGGTATGTTTTAAGAATCTTTTTTTGTTTTAGTAAACGTGGAAGGGTAATAAAATAAACAATAATCTAGTCAATTATAAATAAGTAAATGTATTTAATTGATTGACATATCATGGCAGGACAATCACTTGGCATTAACTTGGTTTCTTGGCTCCTGCTTTTAGATGTTTTTTAAATAATATATTTACTAATAAGATGATTCTGAAAGTGATTGTTAGTATCATAACTCATTAAAGCTATTTCAACATCCAGAGAATTTGAAAAAGCAAAGGCTACGTTTTGGTCACACCCTTGTCAGGCATTATCCAGTCCTGGAACAGAAGAACTTACAAAATTCTCAGTTGACTTTTCATGTAACAGAATAAATATTGAAACATATATTTAACCCAAATTTGGTGAAATTCTTCTTATAAATCATCAGGGTTTTTTTGGAGGTTACTAATATTTGAAGACTGAGCCAAAGCAAGTGTTTATTAAGATGTTGAAAAGATGATACAACACCACATTTCAGCCAGATGAGCTAAAAACAATATGCCAGTAATATTACTCCTATATCACATCAGCCTACAACCAATTAAGCCTGTGCCACATAAACCAGCGGTTGATATTATGAGCATCTTTCCACACTGTCTTGGTACCAAGTCACCATGTCTATACTGAACAAAAACAGCTAGGTATCATAAATAGTTTAAAGGACATTGTTTTGCAGTGAAGATTGAGCATACAATACCACAAAAATATTTCCAAAATTATTATTGATCTCTTGACCATATTTGCTCAGTATATACAGTCACTACAACCAAGCACAAGTGGACCACTTCTATCCAGGACACCCCACCAGGTCATTGCTACTGTTATGCAATGTGAGTTTCACTTGTAAAGTCACTTGTTAGCCAAGTGTCATTGAGGGGATCAGCTGATTCAGCTCACGTCAGCTGATGTTATCCAGCAAATACTTTGTGATAGTCTAGACTGATAAGACAACTGTTCTCCTTCAACACAGACAATATGGTCTGACAGTGATTACAGACCTCTACATAAGCTGTTTATTTGTCTAAAAATATGCAAAATTTATCATTAACCATTTAACTTTCTGAGTCACGTCTATCAACTTGCAACTCCTGCAAACTTCAACCTACAAAATCTCTTGTCAACAAGTGTCTAGGCTACGAGGATAGCCCTGTGATGCGACCTTGACCTGCTCTTACAAAGTGCTCAGCTCATGCCCACCACCTAAGATAGTGTTATAGCGATCTGTGCACAAACATGACCTTACATCACCACACACCTCGCCACTCTCCAATACTGCTCCGTGAGGTCACAATGAAAAGATTATTTGCAGATACATGTACTATCTATTTGTTCTTTGGAAGAAAATTCCCTCAGTAAGGACAGAAAGTTCTCACATTAAGATCTGATATAAAGAGTGAGTGAGTGAGTTTGATTTTACATCTCTTTTAGTGAGTGAGGGAGTTTAGTTTTACGCCGCACTCAGCAATATTCCAGCTTTATCATCCAAAACTGTGGTCCACAGGAGATAGCGCTCTTATCCTAGGAGATATCGTTTTGACAGTAGATTTTGTACAATGCCCTGACAATGCTATGACATCATCAACTTGATGACGTCACAATGCTATGACATCGCTGCACTGCAAGTCTAATGGTAGAACAGTGTTGAGAGATGTACAATTTTTCATTGAAAACTAATGAAGAATGATTTTTGATGATAAATAGAATCTCACCCTCGTGTCTACTGATATCAATTATATCAACACTCGTTGATAAAGGTAAAAATATCCTCGGCAAGCCTCGGATATTTGTAACTTTATCAACTCGTGTTGATATAATTGATATCAGTAGACACTTGGGTGAGATTCTCTATATATGGAGGCTGTCTGTAAATAATCGAGTCTGGACCAGACAATCCAGTGATCAACAGCATCTGCGCAATTGGAAACCGATGACATGTGACATGGGCTCATCGGCTGTCACTGGATCGGTCTATTGCTGCACAAAGATGACAGTAAAATCTAATGAATCGAATAAATTATAATATCAACATAAGGAGAAACAAACATGGCAAAGTTCTCCTTTCTTTTCTTCAGCCTGACAATTCAGAGGAGATGCTTTCAGAGCACATTCTGAGTACATTTCAGAAGAATTAAAAGCATGGTCAAATAAGATAAAACAAGAAGACAAAGTCATCGATATCCCCCGCAATGGCAAAATACTCTTCATGATTATGTCTACGAGTTATGATTATGTCAAATATTTGGGTGTGTATATAGAAAAGTGGAAGGAGAATATTGAAAGGTTTTTAAAGTTCTGCTCCAGAAAGGAGCACTATCACCAATTTCAGTCTAAATCAAACTTGTTGCCATGGAAATGCCAAAACTATTTTATTCAGAAATCCAAAACTACCAAAAGGCACCAGTACACCACCAGATCTATGTATGTGCCAAGTTTGGTGAAGAAACATTGAACGCTTTTAGAGTTCTGCTCCGGAAAAGAGCACTACCACCAATTTCAGTCTAAGTCAAACTTGTTGGCATGGAAATGTCAAAAATATTTCATTAAGAAATCCAAAACTACCAAAAGGCACCAGTACACCACCAGATCTATCTATGTGCCAAGTTTGGTGAAGAAATAGTAAACGGTTTTAGAGTTCTGCTCCAGAAAAGAGCACTACCACCAATTTCAGTCAAAGTCAAACTTGTTGCCATGGAAACGTCAAAAATATTTTATTCAGAATTCCAAAACTACCAAAAGGCACCAGTACACCACCAGATCTATCTATGTGCCAAGTTTGGTGAAGAAATAGTGAACGGTTTTAGAGTTCTGCTCCAGAAAAGAGCACTACCACCAATTTCAGTCAAAGTCAAACTTGTTGCCATGGAAACGTCAAAAATATTTTATTCAGAATTCCAAAACTACCAAAAGGCACCAGTACACCACCAGATCCATGTATGTGCCAAGTTTGGTGAAGAAATAGTGAACGGTTTTAGAGTTCTGCTCCAGAAAAGACAAATGTGCACGGACGGACGGACGCACGCACGGACTGAGTCCGTTTTAATACCCCCCGCAAAACGCGTTGCAGGGGATAACAAATCCTGAACACCCCCACCCACCACCGACCCCTACTGAATCCCCACACTTACTAAACAAATACCAAATTTCATTACATTTTTTACAATAATGATTGAGTGAGTGAGTGAGTTGTGTTTAGTTTTACCCCACTTTTAGCAATATTACAGCAGGCTACCCCACCGACCCAATATGGTGATGGCCATACACATAAACAACTATTTTCAATACAGTTCCCTTGTTGTTCATATTAAAAACCTTGTGAACAAATTAGTGTCATCACTGTTGGGAACAAGCTTTGAAACTTCAACTTCAGAGGTCTGGTGGTTTGTAAGGAAACGATGTTACAACACCACATTTCAGCCAGAT